CTTTTTTTTTAATCTGTCAAATTCCAAAATGATCTGTTTTCTCAAAAACATACAAATGTTAGTAGTCAGTAATATCAGAATTCCATATTGCATTTATTCCTAAGAAGATAATATGTGTCACTAGGAGTTACTTGAATCGTTATGCACATATCCAGTGTGTTTATTTTCCAATATTTATTTCCAGGCATTCCTATGCAATCACCATTCATAAAGAAATCTTCATACATTTTGATTACAGGGATATGTAACCATTGACATCTCTGCTTGAACTATTATAGGCAGAAATTACAAAAGTTAATACCACACTTAGCTCTGACAATGAAAATAAACAAATAAAAACTTATATGGATATAGTGACTTAAAATGTTCAAAACATTTCCATAGATATTTTCACAACTCTAAAGTTTTTGATCAGGCTTTTTCTTTAATCATTCCCATCTTAGAGATAAACACACTAAATAAAATTCAAAAGTGAACCATCTACCCTTTGTCTACCCTGCTGAAAATAATCAAATTGCCATTTGGTGTTAGCATTCTGAAACCCAGTATATGTCCTTCCCATTAAACCATTGTGATTTCTGAAATTGAGATCACAGTAGATTCTCATTTTGAATTCAACACTAAGTAATAAGCCGTCCTGTTAGGAAACTGATAAGATAAAAAGCCCATTTATTCATTCTAAGTATGCCAGAACATATCCATATATTTAATTTGTTCACAGTCAGGGGCATGGATTTCTTCTAATTAAAACAAAGCAAAATGAAATAAATTGTATCAATGCCTTTAAGATTCTCCCTAAGGTTTTTGCTGCTTAAGATATAAATTCACATAAGTTTCCTTGACATTTTAAACCTTAAAGTAGTTGTTTTCTTCTTATTATTATTTTGTGTATCTTCTGTTGCATTCCTGAAATTACATCTTATCTTTTTGTTACAAAAGTAAATTATATCAGATTATCTCTTGTAAGCATTTGAGTACTTCATTCAGATTAGTAAGGTTTTTCTCAGGTTTAAACCATTGATCTAGTCATTGAAATGATTTGAGAAAATTCACTTGGGATTATCAACTATGGTTTAGATTAGAAGCAAAAACTATTTAGTCATCCTTAGTCATCATAAAAAACTATTTAGTCATCTTATTTAGTCATAAGAATCATAAAAAACTATTTAGTCATCTTATTTAAGATGACAAGACAATAAACAAGTCTATTTTCTGGCATATGCTATTCTTCCCAACCCAGTTACAGTTACATATACTTAATATTACTTCTGTATTACTTCTGTATCTGTATATATTCTTGAGAAATTGTGGCCCTTAATTTAAAACTATTTTTAAGGTATGGTTGATGTATACTAATATATTCACTTAAACTTAAAAGTTTTAATACACACATGAAAGCCCATCATCACAATCAAGATAATGACTGTACCATGACACATATCAATTTCCTTTTAAATCGTTCTTTCCACACTGCCCATCGCTGTTTGGAACTTAGGAAAGTGGGTTTTGTTTAATTTCCATTTTCTGGAAGTTTATAAGAAATTGATAGCCAGCATGTAAGAGGGGGTTGTCATTGAATGGGCAATTCCTAAAAGGAAACATCAAAGAGAAAGGAATTTTCTGGCAAAATGAACTAAGAAGATCCTTGCAATAACAGTTCAAGGTAATCAAACTTTACCTATGGGACAAAGAAGGATGAGATGTTTAGTTAGATATGGAGGGTGGTCAGACTCCATAATCATTTGCTTTGCAATATCTACTATAAAGTATCCCAGAAATTTTTGGCTCATTCTCAATTGGGCTGTTCTATTCAATTTTAAAGACTTTATACTTCTAAATATACATCTTTTTAGATCTATGACTTGCATATATGTTTTACACAATTTGTAATATGTTTTCCTACCAATGTCATTTGTAGACTTTTTTATTTGATACAATTAAATTCAGCCTTTTTAATATATCATACTTTTAGTTTCTTACTTAAGAAACATTTGCCTGCACAAGTTCCTTAAGATTTTTTCATGGTTTTCTCTGCAAGCTTTATAATTTTACATTTTATATTTCTACGATCTAATTTTAGTTTGTTTTGTATATGGATAGCAGTTCATTTTCTTTGCACATGAATATTCATTTGTTCAAGTAACATTTGTTGAAAAAAATCATCCTATTTTTCTGAAAGCCTTTGTAATGTTGTCAAGAAATAGGCATTCTGTGAACTCACTCTTCTGTTTTTTTTTTTTTATTTATTTCTCTACTTTTTCCTTCATCATGTTGTCTTGATAACTGTTGTAGGATAGGGTAAATGATCAAGACGTTTACATCTGTGGCTTGATCTTGTTAATGCAAAAGGTGTATGTGGGTGTGGGGCTCATATTCCTAATGACAGACACCTGAGCATAGGTGAATGAGCATGCACAAGCATGCACACCTGTACCTAGGAGAGAGCATAAAGGGGCTGACTCACTCTGGAGAGCGGCCTCAAGTTGCTGTCTGCCTGCTGGTTTGTTCCCTCTGCTTCACATTAAACTTGTAAAAATGATACCAAAGCCTCGAAAATTCTCTTTCAAATTGCTAGAATGAAAGGTGAACCTACCTGGCCTGGGATGATTGGAAAAAAAAGTCAATTTATAATGCCTTGTAAAAGCTGTTGTTAGATCTTGAAATACTTTCTATGTTTTCTGCTATTCTAGGTCTGTTTTATATTAATATGTATTTTGAATCAGATTTTCATTTTCTAGAAAGTCTTCTCTGCAGGATTTTAATTGGAATTAAATATAACATTAATTTGAGGAGAGATGGCATCTTAACAATATTAAGTCTTAAAAACTGAATAAAATTTATAGTTATATTTAGAGTTGTTAATTTCTCTTAGGGGTCATTTATAGTTCTCAGTTTGTCATATGTTTTTTTTTATATTTACTGCTATGTATTTTTTAAAGATTTATTTATTTATGCATACAGAACTGGGGTACAGGCCAGAGGTGTGGGGTGCTAAGAGGATTCACCAGAGACAGAGTGGGGAGCAGAACAGGCTGACTGACAAAATACACTGCTGAGGGGAGCAGCGGGCTTGTCCGGAGAGGTCTGTGACTTAGTGCTGCACCACCAAGGAGGGCCCACTGCTATGTATTTCATATATATTGATCTACTGTAAAAGTTTTTAATTGTTAATTGTTTACTGCAGGTATCATACAGAAATACAATTGATTTTCTTTCAAGTAACATATCCTGTCCCTTTATTAAACTTATTAGTTAAAGCAGTATTTTTATTAGTAGATTCTATGGGAATTTTTATGTAGAGTGTTGTCATTTGGAAATAAATTTTTTTTGTTTGTTTATGCAATCTGCATTTGGTTCCTTTTCTTTATTTTGCTGGTTATAAACTATAGGACAATGTTAAGTAAAAGTAGTGAGAGTTATACCTTTCTTGTTCCTAATTTCATCCCCATGTGTAATTTTAGTCTGCTTTTAAAACCTATCAAATAATTTATCTTTATTTATTGAGATTTTTATATAGATTTCTTCTTGTGTCTGTTAATATGATAAATTACATTGATAGGATTTTGAAATATTAAATCTATCTATTGCTGAGATAACCCTGCTTCATAATTTGATATTATCATTTTATTGAGTTTAAAAGACTTTTTATTGTATGGATTATGATTTTTCTCTATTGTTTTTATGTTTTTCAGTTTCTTGATTTTTTCTATTTTTCTTCTGATCTTTTCTTTTTCTTGATTTTGAGCTAGATTTTGTGTATTTTCATGTAGTTTTTAAGGTGGTCGATGAGCTCATTGATTTAAGATTTTTTTTTTATCTTTGCTTCCATAGTAACTAATATAGAGGACAATTTTTGTACTCTTTTTAAAATTCCTGAACTTTTTTTCCTGAGAAACAGTTGAGCTACAAACAATTGAAACAGTTTGATGCTTTCAGGTCTCATTTTTAACTTTTGTTAGACAAGTGTAGAATAGCATTTAGAGTTAATTATTTCACCCAGCTGAGCCAAGACCCTTCATGTGTCTACTCTGAGTTGCATAAATTATAAAGTATTCAAATTTGCCTGGCATTAGTAAGCTCTACCCTTAAACCCAGGTGAAATTTAGGAACTCTTCCACTTCCCTGTGATTTTTTACCACCTGGAGAAGTTACATCAAATAAATGCTCATGCACTTAATACTCACATGAATATTGAGAATGCTGTGCCACATCCAAATTCTCTCTCTGCCATAGTCTCCAATTTTGTGACCCTAAGCTCTGTGAGATCTAACCATATTATCCTACCATAACTCTCAGCTCCATCTATTCTGGAAATTCTCTGGGCTTTATTGAGTTCTTGTCTGCTGCTTTGCACCCTGGAATGTCTCTGGTTGTAAGCCAGCCGTGATGGGATTCACTCAATTTCTTTCCTATTACCTAAGAATCACTGTTCTTTCTTACCTAGTGCCCAGTGCACTGAAAAGGCTCATTTCATGCTGTTTTATTTTCAATTGTTTTATTGCAAAGGTAAATCTAGTGCCTTTAATTACATCCTGATCTGAATTGAAGTTTGGTCTTTACCTTTATATTTTTATAGCTATCACTTGTATAAGTTTCCTGAAAGAATAAACTGGATCTTATAATTCTTTGTATTCTGCCATATATAGCTCTGAGAGATAATGAGTGTTTAGTATATATCTGATGTTTCCTTAATTGAAATAATACATCCCTGCTAGTTATAAAAGTTAATCATATATTCCTGACTTGACAACTCGGTTTTAAAATGTCAATGCCTTTTGTTTATAAAGCTGAATGAATATTAAATACTATCCTACAAATGTTAAGGAAAAATATACCAAATGTTAAGAATAATTAAAATATTTCAAACAAATTATAGAACATAGTATGGTAATATTTAGTGAAATGTATTTTTATCATGATTTCTATTACTAAAATTACTCTTAACCATTTACAAAATAGGTGTCACTACCTTCAATAAAATATCTTTCCATTTATTCCAGGTGATTGTCAAATCTGGGCCAGGGACTTTCCTCAGCCTTGTTGTTTATGACAATTACATCTTCTGGTCAGACTGGGGGAGAAGAGCTATCCTGCGTTCCAACAAATACACAGGAGGAGACACAAAAATTCTTCGTTCAGATATTCCACATCAACCGATGGGAATCATCGCTGTTGCCAATGACACAAATAGTTGTAAGTTAATGATAAAATGCACATTTTAGAATTACATAATTGCTCACAAGTCTATGTGTAGGGTAAGTGAATTGGTCAGACTATTTTTTTTTTAAAGATTTATTTACTTATGCATACAGAACTGAGGTACAAGCCAGAGGGGCAGGGGCAGTGAGAGGATTCATCAGAGACAGAGTGGGGAGCAGAACAAGCAGACTGATAAAGTACACTGCTGAGATATGCAGCAGGCGGGTCAGGCTCCGGGCGGGGGTCAAACTTATGCTGAAGTGGCTTTAGTTTCTTAGTGCTGTGATTTAACCTACTGTGCCAGCAGGGAGGGCCCTGGTCAGACTTTTTACACTCCTAGCCTCTATGGCTTTCATAAGCAGGCTTGATTCTGCTAATGCAGGAAGTGCTCAGGCTTGTCAGTCCAGGGCATTCCTGCCTGATGGCAGACACATGTAGTACGGGTGTGAAAACATGAGTAAATGTGCATGCCTGAGCCTAGTCAGGTAAACAGGTGGCCTCACTCAGAGAGGATAGTTATGAGAGGATGAGTGACTACAGAAAAGGCAAGACCAAAAGTGAGTGCTAGAGAACCCACAGAAAAAGAGGAAAAATGGTATGGTCTGAAAGCTCAGTTTCCTGCCTTCTTCCTAGTGACCCCTCCCCAGCCCTGGCCCCTCTACTTTGCCTGCCTGCCTTGCCAGCCTGCAGGGTTGGCACTACACTATGTTTTATAATACCTGGACTTTGTGTTCTTAGAGTAAAGGAGATAGTACCTAGGTAGACTTATTGGAAATATTATTTGACATATCAAAATTATCTGTAAGGTTTAAGGAAACGTCTGTGTTTTTTAATTTATTATCAGAAGAACAAATCATTGAAGTGGTTTCGGGGATTCTATCACTCCTTTGAGCACTCAGATTGCTTCTATGAGATTAATGTTTGATTTTAATTTAAAAAAAAAACTTTGGGCTTAAAAATTCTTTTTTAAAATCCTAGAATACCTAGAAATTTGTCATTGGCAGTATCCACACAATTTCTAGTGTTAGTAGGTCATTTCACACCATAGCATCCTTTGCAAGTGTGTTGTTAGAGTGTTTTGTGTTACTTATTTTCCTGATGTTCTTATCTTTTAGAAATTTTGAAGTTTTGGAAGTCCTAAATCTTTATTGTTGAGACTTTTGAGTACTTACTGTTTATATCTGATATACATTAGAAATTCCATACAAATATCACCAATAAGTTTGCTCTTGCAGGTGAACTTTCTCCATGTGCATTATTGAATGGAGGTTGCCATGACCTATGTCTTTTAACTCCTGATGGGAGAGTGAATTGTTCCTGTAGGGGGGATCGAATATTGCTAGATGACAACAGATGTGTGAGTAAGTAAAGATAATTTAAATGAGATAGAACTGCTCAGAATGGTGCATATGAACATTGAGTTTTAGTATACTCATGAAATTGTGTTCTTCTGTAATACCTCCTATTCTAAAAAGAACTCAGTTTACCATACTACTTATAGAACCATATGCTACATACTCATAACCAGTGGTAACGTATCCACACACCATGGGCTAACAGATGCTAGGTAGAAAAATGCCTACATGTAATAAGCATGTGAAAACTTGTGGTTGTGACTTTGAAAATTCAGTCAGTAGCAAAATGAACTAAAGCTAATGTGACCAATATCCAGGCAGAAGAAGATCAGTATCCTTTGTAGTAAAACCACTCACAGTCCATCACAGTATGTAAATGAGAGAAAATGGCTTGTGCAACTTACTTGTAATCATTTCCAAACTGTTAATTAAGAATGTAACATTGCACCCTTGCATGATGTTTATACCTCCCAAAGGCTTTACGATCTTTAATTAGTACCATTACAGTATACACTTATTAGCAGCTAGATTTCCAGAACTGTTTCCAAAATAAATAAGGGTTCAAGTGTTCCAATACTGCCAAGAAAAATTAGCCAGCAAGATAAAGAAGGTTAATTTCTTTTTAACTGTAGGACTGTTTGTGTATAAGAAAAATGAGAGAGAGCTAACTCGGAAACGATGAACTCGATATCAATATGTGTCAATGTCATTTTTTTTGTCTCTATTTCCTCATCTCAGATTTTTTTTATCTTAGAAAATCAAAAGATGAAATTTGTACATTATAAACCTAAATAATCAGATGCTATATTTTGTTTCATCTTTATCTACTTTCATCTTTGTCTACCGGAGTATTGCCTCTTTTATCAACTCTTTAACATGAACACTTTGACCATAATTTACAATAAACATTTTACCTAAACTCTGTACTTAATTAAGGAACTGTACATATCTTGTCATCTTGTATATGGGTACCATAATGCAAAAGTGTACTTTTTAGCAAAATGATTGTATTTAAGACTATGTCAAAACAAATAAGTGAGCGATACAATTAGTCAGTGAATTTTAAATGAGGATACCCAATTTCAGTAATTTGGACCACAAATTCCTGTCTTTACATCACCTAATACACTCTGAATTGTTTAGAAATTGCTTAAACTCTTGCTTAGTTTGCCCTTGTGGTTTCAGCTGTAATGGCCTGAATCAGATGCCATCTGTAAGCCTGGAATGTTAACCATGCTTTAGAATCATTCATGATTCTTTCACAGGTCACAACAGGCCAGTAGGAAAACAATAACTTTAGTAAAACAGCAAAGGTTTATTTGTATTTAGTGGATGCCTGTCCTTGCTACAAAACAGATTAGATGCATCTGTCTCTTTTAAGCCACCTGTTCTTCTCTATTGATGAGAGGGAATGAATCAAATACAATGTGCTTTAATCCAGATAGTTGCATCCAGATGAAACTGTAGAACATATTGTATTCCTTAGAGCTTACAAAACTTTGCAAGAGTATATTCTATGCAGTGTGCATTTATACTGAAATTGTATGGTCTGACAGAGACATCAGAAATTAAATATTGGCTTCTTGTTAAATCTGTTTTTGGATAATGAGGATGTTTCTGGAATATCTGTGTCCACATCTGAATAGTTCACCCATAGACGTTCAGTAATGATAATGACTGTTTTAAAGGAGTACAACACTATTTATTAATACCTACCTAAAGGCAAAGGAGGAAAACATTTGTTATCATATCTCTTGACAAAAAGATTATGCAATTTTGTTTTACAGAATATTACTTACCTTATCAATAAGCATAAAGAAATAAAAATGGCAAATATATCTAGATAAAAATAATTAATGTGTAAGAGAATGAGAGAAAAACAACCACATTGTTTTTGTTTTTAGAAGCACCAGAAATACCCACTATTTCATCAAATCTACCTACCTAAGAAAGAATTGTACTCATGCAATGTTTCTTTCATCATAATAAAGGTTACATATAGTGACTAATTTTTGGTTTTCCCTCAAATACATAATAATGATAAAAGCAAATTTCAGGTCATTTCCCATCACAATGATAAATATTCCATAGAAATCAGAAATTAAATAGTATGTGTCTCAAATAAACAAAATAAATTGGTAATGTCAATATAATCTCAATGAATGACTGAATTCTATTCAGTTTATAATCTAATGTGATTGTGTGCAATAATTCAGTACCCTCTAACACTTGCTCTTTTAAGTTCTTTAATAGTGTTTAATACTGTCTGTAGATTTTCAGTTCTTTTTAATTTCTCTTACCTGTGAAATTTAAACTGCACAAAGAAAAAAAAAATATTTGGAGAGTTTTGCTATAATTGGAAGATTTTGTGAGATAGATGGATATATAAATCTATTAATTGGTAGAAGATATTTTGTCAAAATGAGTTAATTGTATAAATAATAAATAAAACAGAAAATATTAAATAGTATTAGTGGCTTTTTAATATTTCTGAAATAAAGCTTCAAAAGAAATTGATGTTAATTATAAAATTAAACTATGTTTCCTGCATTAGTAAAGATAAATGAATTTTAATTAGCTCCAATATAATTACCATGACTGAATTTCTCTGTTTAATTATTTAAGAGGCAATGGAGTGAGTATAGCAAATAAACAACACATTACACACCCAAAAATTGGATTCCAAAAGTTTTTTAGCAAATTTATTACGTATAAAATTAAATCCAATCCCCTAAGATATACCTTTCTAAAACAGCAGTCACATATTTAACACTCCATTAATGAAAAAATCTAGTTGAAAGGTTTTTCTTTCTTTCTTTTTTTGTATTTGTGTGTCTTGTTGTACTGTCCTAAAACTTGGTGAATCCACATGTAATTCAGATTTTAATTTCTTATGGGGACCCTAACATTTAGAGATGGCAGAGCCTAAAGCACCTACTACCAGATTACAACTGTCCTCCACATACCATCCTCTGGATGCTGACCAAGTATGGCAGGACCAAAGTATCTCTTCCCCATACCTCTCACCAGGGACAGTGTACCTCGCTGATGAAAAGAAAGCATAGAAGTTTCTTCTGAAGGTAGTTGAGGAGAGAGACCACTTGCTGGGGAGGGGAATAGGAAACATTCATTGAAGTGAGATAAATTGAGTCAACATTCAACTTTGAGAACTCTGTTTACTGGAAAATTTCAATATATTGAAGAATATAAAATAAATATAATAGTAAGAAAACATAAAAGCATTCTCAGTATGTACAAAGTTTATTTAACTGTCTTTAAATTTTTATAAGGTGCTAGAAAATAAATATCATTATCCAAATTTAAGCTCCTTTTGACCATATCCATGTAAATATCAAACAATTTTAAAAAATAAGCAAATGGCCATAGAGAAAAAGTCAGGCAACTCCCAAAAAATTTTAAAAAGGAAGATAAGATGACAACAACCAAGTGTCTCTGTTAATTTTGTATAAGGCCATAAACCAGTTGTCTTTTATTAGGTTTTATATTTAGGTAGCTGGACTTCATGTTACTTTTACTAGTATTATTGAGAGAAACAATTATTATGGAATTTAAAAAATAAAGGCCTGGTATATGTACAGTGACTTTTTGTCTTGCAGCTAAAAATTCCTCCTGTAACATTTATTCAGAGTTTGAGTGTGGAAATGGTGAGTGTGTTAACTACCAGCTCACCTGTGATGGCATTCCGCACTGCAAGGATAAATCAGATGAAAAGCTGCTCTACTGTGGTAAGTGTCTAATTTGTGACTTGATTTTTTTCATAGAGAAGTTTTAATTCGTAACAATTTTAGGTTGATTTGTCTCCATTTAGCTTACTTGATATTTTCATAATAACTCTCACTAATATGTAGATCCAAATCTAATTGGTTTTGCTCTTGTTCAAATGGGGTACCTTATTTTCTATCTAATTACCATGATATTCTGTGTAAGATTTCCTCATGGTTAGCCAACCATGAAATTAAAATTAAAATGTAACAATTGCCTGTCCATCAGCTGCTTACTTATTTATTGTTAGCAATAGTTTTTAGGTGTAGACTCATAAAAATGTAATTCAGTAAAATCAACTATATGTGGATATTTGCAGGTTTACTCTGAAGCAAAGTTTCAGCATCAATCAGTTATGCATTGGAATGATATCAAAGTCTTATACATACTTTTTTTTTTTGGCTCTAGGATTAGCTCTTTTGTATTGTCTTTAGGTATAAAGAATGTCTGCAGAGACTTTGGTTTCCATCAGGGCTGTAATTTTCTTACAACTGCTCCACTGTAGATACTGCCACATGATAGTCAACCTCTACCCTGACCTTAAGAGTACAGATTTATTTCTTGACCAGATTAAACAACTGATATTTACCCTCACCACAAAAAAAGATTTTTCGTGGAAGTATGTTTCTGTGCAATGATTAATAGTTATAGAATTTATCCATACTATTTTGTAGCTTGATTTATTTTTACTCTAGCTATTGCATGCTACACAAAATTTGGGAATCTATATCAATAATTGCTGTATTTGTCTTCTACTTTTCTCATTCGTCCTATTTTCTAAGTGATAATTACAAATATATAATCTAAAAAAAAAGATAAAATAAGATGAAGTGGGAACTTGGAAAACTCCATAGGCAGAATTTCTACATTGTAGAATTGCATACCATTGGCCAATATGATAAACATATGTAATCTGTCCATGCTGACCTAAAATCGAAATCTTAGGGACTTTTCCTCAAATAACCCATTTTTGAATGATGACAGTATTCTGTACACTATGAAAATACTAATGCATATAAAAATGTAATGATGTACTTAAAAAGTAACATTCACAGTGAATTGACTTGAGAGTATATTTTATATGTTTAATCACCTTAGAATCCTGATTATATTTATGTGAACAGGGGCTAGCAAAAATTACTTGTAAATAAGCAGCTGACAACTATTTAGGTTTTGTCACCTACCCTCTATTTTTTAAATTCATTTTTTATAATCCTTTAAAAAAGTAAAATTCATTCTTAGCTCTAGAACCATTAAAAAGAAAAAAAAAAGATTTATAGACTGTATTTGGTCTGTCAGCTATTATTTGTTCACCCCTGATAGAAACTCCAGGTTTTGGAAATCGCACCTAAGATTGAAGTTTTGTTTCTAAACCTACGAGTGTGTAACTAGCCTATGCAAGGTAATTATCCTAAGTTTTACTTTCTCACTACAAAGCAAACCTATCTTAAAAGGTGGTTGAGCACATTATATAAACAAAGGAATGTTTATTTATATTTCATATTGAGTTTGGTACAAACACAATTATTGTTTAGAATATAGCAACTATTATTATTATTATAAGCAATAGCTTCTTACCCAAATCAGAATGTTTAAGGAAAACCTATTAAGATTAATAAAGGTGTGCATCCCTGGTGCCAAAAGGGGTTAAAGCGCAGCACTGTAAAGCTCTCCTCAAGACATTGCAGCCTGAGTTCAATCCTCAGCGAGGGAGGTCCCACATGAAGCAACATTCCTCTCCTGTCTTACCTGCTGCACCCCCTACAGTATATTTCAGTTGATTGACCTGTTCTGCTCCCCACTGTGTCTCTGGTGAATCCTCTCATCTCTCCATATTTCTGGCCTACACCCCGTTCTTATATGTATAAATAAATAAATTTTAAAAAGATTAATAGAGGTTAAATGGTAGTGGGCAGTCTCTATGGGGACTACATCTGTGAGGAGAAAGCAAAATTTGTACTAAAGTGAGCAATGATATAAAATATATAAATAAATTACATAAAAATAATCAAAAAAAGATTAAGAGTTTAGGGCTTCCCTGGTGGCACAATGGTTAAGTCTCAGCATTATCATGCCATTGACACTGTGGCCTAAAGTTGATCCCTGGCCAAGGGGATATCTTTCATGGTGTAGCAGACCTCTCCTGTCTTGCCTGCTGCTCCCTTTACAATATATTTCACTAGATCTGCCTGTTCTGCTCCCCACTCTGTCTCTAGTGAATCCTCTCACTACCCATACTTCTTGCCTACACCTAGCTCTTTTATGCATAAATAAATTTAAATAAATAAATGAATATTTTTAAAAAAGAAATTATATTTTAAAAAGGTTAATGAGTTCAAAAGGTAATTCTGAGTAGAATAGACACTTTTAGATGATAATTAAGGAAAATATTGAATATTGATTCAGGACTATGTTTTTTACCACTTTTTTTTTGTTGTTGTTATCAAATCCTTGCAACATGCAAAGGAGAGAGAAACTAGGTATTAGAGTGATTTTATCCTTTTTGAGGTAAAGATTTATTTCTTCAAAATTGAATATGTGATATTTTTATTTCTATGCCACCTGACAGACATGTCAGAAGCAATAATGCGGTTTTAATTTGAAGAGATTTCTAAGTATGACTTGTTGGAGTTAAAACATTTAGGCTCAAAGACTTAGTTAGTGACCCACTTGGTAATACATGACTGTTTTAATCTAGAACTTTGATACCACCCAGTGCCTTTTTTTATAGTTTCAAAATGAAGTTAGTATGCGTAAAATCTCATTTATAATTGATTTTAATAAAACTATTCTTCTATTTCTACCTTTTATGTATAAGAAAACAGAAGCTGTCGAAAAGGTTTCAAGCCCTGCTACAATCGTCGCTGCATCCCTCACAGCAAGTTATGTGATGGTGAAAATGACTGTGGAGACAACTCTGATGAATTAGACTGTAAAGGTAATGTCTATTGCATCAGTCAAGGAATAGTATTATGTTAAGTCTTTCTTCACCTTTTCCAAGGAGTGTTCCGGAGAACTCACATTTTCATCATTTTGGCACATAAAACCTAATAAGGTCTATGTACCAAGTCTTGGTAAATGCTAGTGAGAAGAGTTATTGGAATTAAATGAAAAGTATGTCTGTTTCTAGTTTCTATTTTTCTACTCACTTCACACTTGTTATCTTTTTTTTTTTAAAGATTATGCGTACAGAAATGAGGTACAGGCCAGAGGTGGGGGATGAGAGGATTCACCAGAGACAGAGAGGGAAACAGAATAGGCAGATGTACTATACACACTGCTGAGGGGAGCAACTAGCAGTTCAGGATATGTCTGACAAACCATATGGTTAACCTCCCTGGCCGGGGATCAAACTCATGCTACAGTGGCTGTTTTAGCCTCATAGTGCTGTGTTTTAACCATTTGCACCAGGGAGGGCCCACACTTTTATTATTTTTTACTTCTCTAGTTCTTCCTCCTTTTTTATTGGGCATTTCTACCAGAATGAGTAATACTGAGATGACTGCTAAAAAAGTATCTCAATTCATTTTTTTAAACTTGGCTTTACACATAACCTCTTCATTTTCCTCACCATTAGACAGGAAATATTGGTGTTATGCTTGGTTCACCTTTTCATCAGTTTATCATTCACATGTCCATTATGAACAGATCTTGCAATTTTTTAAAATAGCTTCCATTTCAATCCACTTTGTGTCTGGATTTACAATAGATTTTAATTGATCTCTCTCCCTTCACTCATTCCATTTAATTCCTATATTTTTAGTCATGATAACTTTTTCCCACAGTAATTAATGTGAAATCAGTAGGCTTACCTTATAATCAAGATACTTAGCCAATCTGTGCCTCAGCTACCCAAATTCTTACAAAAGAGATAATAATTGAATTATTAAATTCGTTTAGAAAAGAACTTCACATATGTATGGAAAAACCTATATAATCACATTACACCCCCCCTTTTTTTTTAAACCCGCTGCCCCAATACATAATCACTAAAATGGTTTCCTAGTGTTTGGAGTATTAAGACAAGATTTTCAGGTGGCATTTAGGTCTCTTGAAATCTGAATCATTCCAAAATAAATTTTCATTAAAAATATTTGTATTAAAAATGAATAGATTGGCCCTACCTGGTGGAGCAGCGGGTTAAAGCACAGCACTGAGAATCTAAAGCTGCTTCCACATGAGTTCGATTCCCGCCTGCCCCGGAGGTGACCACATGGTGTGGCGGACCTCTCCTGACCCGCCCGCTGCTCCCCTCAGCAGTGTACTTCGTCGATCTGCCTGTTCTGCTCCCCACTCTGTCTCTGGTGAACTCTCTCACCCTCCGCATCTCTGGCCTGTACCCCAGTTCTGTATGAATAAATAAATCTTTAAAAAAAATGAATAGATAAGGAAAATGTGATATACATTATATATTATTATGTTAACATAGTAAGTATCAAGAAGTATGAAAGAATCCTGTCATTTATGACAACATGAAAAGACCTTGAGGGCATTATGTGAAATATCAATCAGAAACAGACAAATAATGGAGTATCTTAGTCAAATATAAAATGAAAAATAAATGATACCAGTAAAATTAAACCCATAAATAATCAGTTCATTGTTACAGAATACAGAATGGCAGTTGCCAGATACTGCAATAAAGGTATAAAGGTGGTAAAATGAGGTGAGTGTATTAAAAAGTACTAACTTCCAGCTATTTAGTAAGTATGTCATGGTGATGTAATTTTAGCATGGTAACTATGGTTAGTAACCTATGTTGAATATTTAAAATTTGTTAATAGAATATACATTAAATTAGCATAAACCTTTTCTGTGTCTATGTATAGTGATGGATCATAGCTAGACTTATTATGGTGATCATTTTGCAATATGTATAAGTATAAAATGATTAAGTTGTATACATAGAGCTAATAAAACAATATATGTCAGTCAACTATATCCAATAAAAATATCTTCCCATTTTGTGGAGCATACTTTAAAGGCAAAATGCATTAAGGACTAATACCACTATTTCAAACATGACCATAGCAAATATTCTTGGGTAATAAAGAAGACATGTAAATGAATAGATTGCTTTTGTGGGATTTTTGCCAACTTAAGATAAATTTATTTTTATTGTATATCTGTCATATATCATCTGTTTGCTTTTTTTTTTCTGGGTATGTTTGTGTTTAGTGGGAGATTAAATATAGCTTGGATTCTGATACTGGAGCACTGATAGACATTCAGAAGGAATTATTCTAAAGGCTTACAGATAGGTATAGATCTGAAGTTCAAGTAGTAGATTTAGACCAGAAGTATTGATTTTGTACTTAGTGAAGAGAGAAAGCTCAGAAGATATTTGTAGTAGTAGATATTTTGTGGATTGCATCAGAATTGCCTATTGAAATTAGAGATCAAAAACACTCCAGTGAAAGGAAAAATAGACCAGGGAGCTATTATATAGGTCTTCATAAAGAATGTATATTTTTAGAAACAAGGATCAGTTAACACTATAATATGATTCAGCAAAGGCAAAAATTTTAAGTCCAAAATTGGAATTAAATTGTACTTGGCAATGAAAAATTGCTCATCACTCTTGCATCTTCTAGACTTATTTTTTTTTTTTTCTCATGTTCACACATTGTCCTTGTTGGGTGCCTTTTACATTATGGAGGATGATTTTCCTGGTTTCACTCCCCATAAGTCAGGGTATTTTAAGAAGGAGTACTTCAGATGTGTTCTGACTGTCATGCACACTGGATGCTTACAGCATATAGAGGACGATGAACGAAAAGGAGTACACAAGAGCTAAGAGAGGGAAAAGGGAGGGTTTTTGTTACCCCTCTTATTCTGTAGTCAGTGTGAGACAGTGATGTAGTGCTTTGTTGAGTATATGTAAGCACTGCAACTAAAGAAAATGTAATGCTTGAATGTACATAAAGTAATATACAGAATAATTTAGTACCATAAAAAATTAATATATGCACAAAGGTTTCAATACATTATGGAGTGAGGCTATGGAAGTGTTATCTGGAAATTATTTGAAAAACGATTACACGTCTGTTTGTTTGGTTTAGATGTTAATAGTTTTATTATATTATTCCACAAAACAGAGAATCTGTTTGCACAGTGGAAATGGATGTTACAACACATTATTTTTGATTTCTTCTTCTTTGGAGGAAAAGCAAACTTCCAAATCTTCATAAATCTTTTATTTACTGCACCTTTATAGCTGTTCCTTTCATGATTGAAAGCTTAGATATCAAGCTAGCAGGGTGGATAAGGGGAGGTGTGCAGAAAGCCTGTCATTATGTTTTCCCAGTCTGGTTGTGTGAAAGGTTGAGTGACTAGATTCTGGGAGAGTACATGATATCCCTTCTCTCCTTCCTGTCGAGATAAATATAAATATTCCCTTTGGAACTACATGAGCCTTCTTGGTCCACCTGAACACACTTAGGTAGATTAAGGACGTAGGTATTTTTGAGACTACTTAAAGGAGAGAAAATTAGTGTTTTGTTTCTTTCTTCCTTTCAATTTTTATAGCAAAACTTTAAAAACTCTACAAACTTCAATCTAAAGGAAAGGATGCACACGCCTAGAGACAATATTGTCATTCCTTCTAGGTTTGCATCCTCTTAGAGACTAACTAGTAGATTAAATAAAATATGTAGTTGAAAGTAAAAATATAGAGAGATATGACAATAAATGTAATGCATTTTTTTTATTTTTTGTCTTTTTTTTTCTTGTCAATTTCCCTTAGCTACTTACTGGGTTGGGGAGTTGGAAAAGAAAACATTGACTTAAGTTATTTACAAGAACCACAAGATGGCCAATCCATTCCTAGCTCCTTAAATATTTTAACTGATAGAAATGAAAGTATACGAAAAAGAAAATTTAAGAAAGTATGTGAACAAAAGAATGGATTTGTTTCTCTCTTGCTATACCTTTCATCCACAATCCCTGTCAGATCTTTCTTTATAGTATCTCATCACTATTCCTGATAAGGCTGGGGTACATTATTACTCATACTTTATATGCCTCTTTTTTTTCTTTTGGACTATCTGGAGGGAAAAGTCTAGTATTTCTCACTTGGCTTATCTTCATTAGGACTACATTATTTTCTTCTCTCTCTTTCAGGACTTTTAGCCTGAGGAAAAATTGTCAGAAAGCTATCATATTCACTTGACAAATTAGAGATTCCAGCATCTTTCTCCTTGAAAAAGCACCCTGAGGGTGAAACAAAATTCAATACTTGACTGACCAAAACAAAGTGAGAAAGAAACAGTTAAAAGAACAGAGGAGAACTTTTGGAAAAGACATTTGATTTCTTACTAAATTAAGTTTCTACTGTCCCTACCTATTTCTCCCATCAAAGTACTCTACTTCTTTGCCTAGCAATTCTAGCAACGTTCATCTCCACAACTACTTTGTTCCTGCTATTTATGAAATTTTATAACTAATAATCCTTCAACATAGACATTTATCACACTATTTAACTCTCATGTGGTTCCCCAAGTCTATACCAATCTATGGAATCTGTGTAGATAGAAAAAGAAGTAAAGGAGTAATTTGTTCTTATTTGCATATGTAATATACTCCAAGAATCCCATTAGCCCTTTAGTTATGGGGAAAATTCAAGAAAAATATAACATGCAAATAATCTAACTTTAACTCAGTTCTTCTGGCTTCCTACTTTGTCCTTTTACCCATGCTTAAATATTATCACTTAAACATACTTCTCAAAATAAAAATTAGTTTCCCCCTCCAATATGATCAGAGTTCCTCTCCTCATGTCATTCTTCCTCCCAGAAATACATCTAAAATGTGTTATTCTTGCCTCATTTATCTATTTTACTCACAAGTACTTTATTTTTCTACCCCAAAGTTGCACCACTATTTTTGAAATACCTAAGTACCTAAATTACCAGTACTCTTTGATGATCTGAAGTATCATTACTATATTCTCAGCTCTATCTTCCCCCAGTATCCATCCAGATCAAATTCCTGCCATATATACAGAGGATTCTCTGCAGAAACTTGGAGAGACAGATAAGAATAGTAGAATCAGTTGTAATTGTCCTCGCTGAAATATTTCTGGTATCCTAAATTCTAACTCAAGTATAAGATAGAATTTCAAGTCCATTATGAGATAACATTTTGGACACTTTTAGAGAGGAGAGCAACACTATCTACAATGTTTCTTAGATAAATGAATTTTCCTGTCTTCCAATAAAAGAATTATAAGGAATCTCTCGAAGCACATTCTCTTCATTGGAAACTGCTAATTAATAGCAAATTCAAAGATGTAAATATCATTATTTACTATGTTATATACTCCATTTAAAAATATTTAATGGTAAATGTAATAGAGAAGAAGATTTCACTTTTATGGACAAAAAAAAAAGTGTATTGTTTTACTCTTTGGCATAGTATATTTACCTCTACTTATTATATCTATTTCACATGATAAGATGTTATATTTAATGAAGAAACAATGAGGCAATTATAATTGCTAATTGTGCATAAGGCATTCTAATCATCATTAAAAACAAGTATACAATTGCATGATATACTTAAATATAATAAGAAGAGTACATTATGAAATACAAATGACATATACACCCTTGAGTAAAATTTACATATTTTAAGGTAGTATTTTAACATTTACAATTGATGCAATTTCTGTTTATTAAACAAATGGGCTTTTTAAAATAACACTAGTAAAAGTGTATAAAGTAAAAATCATAAAAGAGCCCTTCAGGTTGTACATTAACATAATCAACCTGTAGCAATTTGAATTTGGAATAAAAATCTCCCCTATAGTAATCTAATACACAAAGGATGCTATGTACCTGTTTACAACATATTGTTGGAAACCATTAGATAGTAATGCATGTATAAGCAACATAGAAAGGAATATAAAAGAAATATATTATTAAGAATAGCTACTGTATATGAAGTGCATAGTTATGACAATAGCTTGTTGAAACAAATTTTTACATAAACATAGCAGAGAATTAGAAAACCCTTACCAGCAATAGGAACAAATCACAGCACATTTATGTTTCTTGGCATAAGATATCTGTATTCTTAAACCAAGCGTTAGTGCATGCCTATGTAAGAGAATACACAAAACATGGATCACTTGCTAGTGGTATTGATCTATTCCTTCTATTTAACAAAGCAAATGGCCAATGCTTTCTCACTTCATTCTCTGTCTACTTCTTAGCAACCAGACCGGGATTCCTCTGTATGCTTGGTGTAGATATTGCTTAGTGCATAACTTTGTACTGTTCAAGTTAAAAGTAGAACATATTTTTAGCACCATTAGATTCTTACATGTTCTCTCAGTTGCAGCCCAGTATAATTGTAAGCAAACAAGACACAAAGTCCCTGCTTTTGTGGGACTTACAGTTAAGTGGGGGAGCAACAAGCAGATAACTGGCGAGTGGAATACAGTGTCAAATGTACCACCACAGAGGACAGGATTGTATGACAGGGAAAGATGTGAAGTATCTAACTTGAGGGTGGGGGGATGGGTCAAGGGGAATGGCTTCCCTGTGTTAAAAAAGCAAATCCAGACAAAATTATATGACTAGATTTAAATACTCAAAATGTTAAAGCAAGGAGTCATTTTCTGCCTCTTCTATGCAATCATTTACCGTTTTTTTCTAGTTTCAACCTGTGCCGCTGTTGAGTTCCGCTGTGCAGATGGGACTTGCATTCCAAGATCAGCACGGTGCAACCAGAACATAGATTGTGCAGATGCTTCGGATGAAAAGAACTGCAGTAAGATATCCCACTACCTTTTGTTTGTTCATGCCTGGGCACCTTTGGTATTACATTGAACACTGTCCAACTTTTCACTGAACCTATTCCAGAATTGATATGTAATTAACCCCTGTTGTGTAAGGTAATTGCATATTTACTTTTTCAAATGAGGTTGACTTTTTGTGTCTCTGTGACCTACATTGAAGGCTCATAATCTTTGTAGATGAGGTGTTTTTCATTTCTGTTTACCTCCTTCTAGATAATACAGACTGCACATATTTCTATAAACTTGGAGTGAAAACCACAGGGTTCATAAGATGTAATTCTACCTCACTGTGTGTTCTGCCAACCTGGATATGTGATGGAGCTAATGACTGTGGAGACTATTCAGATGAATTGAAATGTCCAGGTAATTCTAGAGGGAAACACAGGCTTAGTCTTAAAGATTTAGAGGCTAGTTGAACAGAACAATCTTAGTTTTCATTCTTGATAGTCAGTGCTTAAGATTAAAATGTAAATAATGTAGGCTAATTAAAAAAAAAACATCCTGGGGACCTCACTAGTGGTGCATCAGGTTAAAGTGCTGCATTATGAAGCTATCTGTAGTCACTGCAGCACAAGTTTGATCCTGGGCCAGGGAAGTGACCCACATGGCGTGACAGACCTCTCCTTACCTCCCCAGTGCTCCCCTCAGCAGTTTATTTCAGTGGATCTGCCTGTTCTGCTCCCCACTCTGTCGCTGGTGAAGCCTCTTACCCCCCTTCCCACACCTCTGACCTACACCCCAGTTCTTGTACACATAATCTTTAAAAAAATATATCATCCTGTCCTAAATATGTCACTTGATCTTTTTGATATAAGTTATGAAATTATAGTGAAGATATTATTTCTGTATTTGTATCAGTTTCCTTAGTCATGTTCAGTAAATCAAGAATCCTATTAGTATTAAAATCATAAAGTTGTATAAATGTATAGATTCTGTTCAATCTATAAAGTTTACGTAGAAGTATTACATACATAGAAATGAAATAGATGGGCCATCCGTGGTGGCACAGTGGGCTGAAGAACAGCACTGCAAGCTAGCCACAGCCACTTCAGTGCAAGTTGACCCCCTGCCCTGGGGGTGACACACATAGCGCAGCAGACCTCTCCTTTCTTGCCTGCTGCTCCCCTCAGCAGTGTACTTGTCCATTTGCCTGTTCTGCTTCCCACTTTTTCTCTAGTAAATCTTCTCACCATCCCTGCACCTCTGGCCTGTACCCCAGTTCTATAAAATCTCAATTTGTTATTAGTTTTTAGTTTTATTAGTTACTAGTTTTATTAGTTTTGATAAACTAAAGAAATCTTTCTAAACTAAAGAAATATTAAAAAAAAAGAAAAACAAAGAAATCAAATAGACTAGATTTCTCACCACTGATTTTATTCAATGTCACTATCCATGTTCTGTCATCATATTAATTCTTTAGTTGGCTGCTCTTTGACCAATGTTTTCACAGAGTAGTGTAGGTAATAGTTGTTACTTAATAAGCTATAGAGGAAACAACTGTTCTGATACTATTTCCCTCTCTTCCACTGTCACATTCACTTTTTCATGTTTAGATGACATAGGTATTTCTTACAATCTTTTAAGAAATTCCATGTTTGGGAATTGTATATACCAGTGTGTATGCATATACACACAAACATACACACAACCTCTTTTGAAGAACTGTTAGTCTTAATAATTCATAACCTATCACTTAATTTTGTAACAGCAAGGTTGCATCATTTTTCTGTTCATCAGTATATAATATTTTGGGATGTCATTTTGAATCCCTCTGGATTTGTAAAGACCAGCTGCTTCTTAGAAGTAGACAAGTTCTCTGGAAGCAGCTATCATTCACTACACTCTCCGACATCTTTTTTATTGTTGTTGTTGTTTCTTTAACTTCAGTAATATAAAACATAAGAAATGTAGAAACATGTTTAGACTTATGAAACCTACATCTCTAAAGTCTTAACCTAATATTCTCTACCTCATTTTGATTGTGGTTATTTTTTGAAATTATTTTGAGTGTTTGATATTTAGATATCCATTAAACTGCATATCTTAAATTGATTTTGTAGTTTCTATAACTTCCTAGAATTAAATATATTTCAAAAAATGGGCTTCCCTGGGGTGCAGGGGATAAAGTTTCAGCACTATCAAGATATAGCCACCCATCGCAGTAACAGTTCGATCCCAGGCTTACCAGAGAGCTGACCCACATGATGAAACAGAACTCTCCTGTCTTACCTGCTGCTCCCTGCAGTAGTGTATTTCAGTATATCCCCCATTCTGCTCCCCAAAAAGGGGAACCTCTTGTGAATCATCTCAGCCTTCCACTCTTCTGGCCTATACCTCACTTCTTGTATGCATAAATAAAAATACATCTTAAAATATATTTTAAAAGTTGACTTTCAAAACTAATAAAACTAATAACAAATTGAGATTTTAAGGGGAAGGAGGAAATGGACAATCATTTGACTTATAGGACAGGTGGAAAGATAAAAAAGCTAGAACATAGGATTAGTGTAAATACTTTAGGTTGTATCTATGCAATAGTTTCCGGGAAAAACAACAACAACAACAACAACAAAAAAAACACTACCTATAAAGTCTTTTTAGTTTAGTAGTGAATTCTGTCAAAAATTTACTTCCATATATAATAAGATTGACAATCTCGATTCTTAAAAAAAAATAAAATTAGGGATTAAAATTTTGGTATCTTGAATAATCATAAGGGGTCATTCATTGTAGTGTGATTGACAAAAATACTCTAAGACTTACTTCTAATCGGCTATGGACCAGTCAGTCGAAAATTAGTTAAATCTGAAGGTGCAAAGAGTCAGGTGAAATCTAGTAAAGACAAAAATCTAGAAATTTATATACACTCTTGTCAGATGTCATATTAACAATAATCCATAATCATATATGTATATATAACTTACAAAATAATTTTACTCTTATGACATTTCTGCAAGGCATAATAACTTTAGTGATGCCATTGCAACTTGTTCTTCCTTAGAGATAAGTACTTACTTAAATTTGTCAATGTATCCATAAAATAAAATGCAACAGAAATAGCAAGTTCACAAGTTGTCAGCAAAAATCTACTTATGTTTCTATAATGCTACTTTCTTATTAAAATGGGATTATATGATTCAGAATCATTTCAATTTACCATTCAGTTGTTTTTATTTACTAAAATCTACATTACACTGATTTAACCAGTTTTTCCAAGAGTATCCTCTTTGAGTTCCAGAATCCAACCCTAAACATGATTAGATTTATAATGTCTCTTTAGTCTTGCCTAATTTGTACCAGTTTTATAGACTTCCTTTGCTTTTCATCTCCTTAAAATTCTTGAAAAGAATATCTCAGCTATTTCTTTGTTTTCCTGTTATATACCTTTTCCAGTTCAAGGATTGTTGCAACCTATATTGCAGAAGTCTAAGATTAATTAAATTATTTGACATTACATTCTATATTTTGTCACAGTTCAAAACAAACACAAATGTGAAGAAAATTATTTTGGTTGTCCTAGTGGAAGATGCATTTTGAGTACCTGGGTATGTGATGGTCAGAAAGATTGTGAGGATGGACTTGATGAATTCCACTGTGGTGAGACACTTATTATGCTGTAATTCTATGAACCGTACTGTTACTTATATGCTGATATTCTTTTACATAAGGTTTTGATATAAAGCATTATTAAGTGCTTTTAACACTGGTTTTCATTTTTAGACAATAGTGAACATTAAATACAATAAGAATCATAATGAAGAATAACAAAGTAATTTCCAATCATTTTTATTAACCACAACAGTTTTTGTAAGTGAATACTTCATCAGTCTAAACTAAGTCCTTATACCTTAGTTTCCTGAATCATTAACTGTAGTTGTTAATTTATTTGCTCTCTGATATGGAACATTAGAATTTAGTTCACACCACCATTGTTCTCCACTACCTGTTGTCATATTATTGTTCTAAGTGTTTCTATTAACTACATGTTAATTTTAAGTAGTATTCTTAAACTTGGAAATCTTCAAATCTTCATTTTTCACCACTGACCTCTTAATGTCTAAGTGTAACCTTTACATTTTGCAAAATAAGAAAGCATATTTTTACATTTATTTCATAAGATTGATGAATTTTGTGATTTCAAAGGCCAAAGAAAACTTCTACAGGAAAACAAAATATATACCCACTGTTATCATCTAACACACTTAACATGTCTTGTGATGTATAGACAGAGTAGAAAGAAATATAATGGATCTTCTATGAAATGTCAAATTCTCCTAAAAGTAAATGTCATAATGAAATATGAAGGTGGATTTTATTTGATTAAGATGCTGTATATTACATAAGAGTCAGATGTTGAATAAGATCATCAGAGAACTTTACATATAGTTTATGTAGATTCATAATTCCTGGACAGGAACCCATTATGTGGTCATATTGCCTTAAATTTTTTTTCCAGACTTCAGTTTTTCTAACTTTCATCTAAGTAAAAATGCCAAATATATATTTTTAAGTCATTTATAGAATCAAAATCAGAAATTCAACTTTTTCAGTAATTATATTTTTAATAATTCAATTTGGGGTGGCAGATGTTATATATTTAGGTTTTTCTGGTGATAAAAACACTGTGTAGAGGGATAGACTGGATGGAGGAAAGCACTCACAAACCTGACCTTGAAATATTTAGATTGTTATTATAAAAACATAAAACACCAGTCAAATTTCCAACAATTTTGGATGGCATTAAGCTATTTTTGTTCTCAAAAGAAAGGAAAAAAAATCAAAGATGGTCATGAAATTAAACTCCTTAGCCATATCATCTTTAGAACAAATACGTGTCAGTCAGTTTACCATATTGTGATGTTGCCTAGGTTGAATTTTTTTCTCTGTTCAAAAGTAGATTGAAAATTCAAAAAAGATGACTAGACCATACCTGGAATATTTATTTTTGTTTTATATCTGTGTACCACTTTTTTTGTAAATCACCAACTGGAATACATACATATATATATATATATATATATATATATATATATGTATGTATGTATGTATGTATGTATGGGAGAGTGTGTGGCACAATGACTATTTCAAAGCCAACCTCTGTGAAGATGATGTTGATGAACAGCATAGTTTAACGTGGGAACTCAAAACTGTTCTCAAAATTTTATGGAACTGTCATAGGGAAGAGGAATTTGGCTTGCTTTATTATAGAAAGGCTGATTTCTGCATGTCTAAGGAAGGGATTTCTCTGTCACATCTACATTAGAATGATCTCAGCTCACCTTTTCTTTTTAGATGACTTTTTTTCTTTTGAAACCATAACATTCTTGTTTTTTCTAGATTCTTCTTGCTCTTGGAACCAATTTGCTTGCTCAGCACACAAATGTATTTCTAAACACTGGATTTGCGATGGAGAGGATGATTGTGGAGATGGATTAGATGAAAGTGATAATATTTGTGGTGAGTTGTTTCTTTTGAATTTTATTCACTTGTTAGGCATACAGTGTGTGTGTATTTCTGCTTGTCAGTTAAAGTATGCATCAAACTTTGTTTTCTATTTCATTAAACTAAGTTTTACTTTTGCAGTATTTAGGATGTAAATTTGTAAATGTTATTTGGAGTCTTCAGTGAGACTTTACAATTACTCTAAATCATTGTGATTACCTGGATCAAATAGTCTAACATCTTGTCTAAATTCCTGATAGATACTACAAGGACTCCAAAAATATACTGACTTTTATAGTATATTACCACACACTCAGTTCATATGCATGTGTATATACTGATCATTATTACTGAACTGTTTTAGGTAGGAAGTAAGTGAAGGAGGCTGTTGTATATGGTTTTAAATTATCCAGATCCTTCAGAAATAATTTAAGTGAAATTATTAAATGAATTTCTTAAAGGGGAAAAGAAGGAAACAATGTGATTTCTATAAATATTGTGATGGACCAGAAATTCTACTTATTTATTTATATGTTTATCTCTCTAATCTGCTTTTATATATATATATATATATGTGTGTGTGTGTGTGTGTGTGTGTGTATACACATCTATACTATACACACTCTGTTCATTTTATCAGTTCTCTTTCATAGCTGTATCTTCCTTATTTTAGAAAGTAAAGAGAATCTGATTTATAGAATAAGATATAACTATAGCATTAAGTATACTTTACATCTTTTAAATTTCAGAAGGTGGCCCTAATTTAGGTTATTATAATGGAGACAGGTAGAAGTCATTTTACAAACTGAAGGTCTTTGTAAATAATATAGAATCTAAAATGTCTCCCGGCAGCAGACAATTTAATATCTTGCATGCAATTCATCTGAAATCTACTTTTTATTTATACTGCTGAGCCAGTTTAGTTATACAAAAGACAAAGACAATTATAGAATGCATGGGATTAAAAAGGTATGAAACAAAGAGAAATTTGTCATCAGTTAGACGACTGGTCAGTGTCTTTTAACAACTTTGTTTTTCTTTGCTATTAAATCTTCATTTAATTTTAAAAGATGAGTTACCTATTTGCAATATATTGACACTTTTACAGTTCTTAAAATCATCTTTCAGTCCCTTGTGTAGCCCTACAGCGGCTCTAGTTATACCTCTATACTTTCTAATTAGATACAGTATAATAGAAAGGATAAAGGCTCTAACGTTGTACAGAATTGAATCTTCCCATATCTGCATTTTCCAGCTGTGTGACCATAAGAAGGTCCATTTTATTACTTATTTCTCACATCCCTTATGTATTAAGAGAGCACAAAAAAAAATCTACCCCATAAAACTGTTGCGATCTCATGGCCAATGTGTACTACATAAACAGACTTATTACCATTCTCTTTGGTTCTACCTTTCCTGCTCCCACATTTATTTTTCAGAATGTTATTGTCATCTGTCTCCATCACTGAGATGATTTTACCTTTAAAAAAAAAAAAGATTCATTTATGCATATAAGAAATGAGGTATAGGCCAAAAGGCCAGAAGTGTAGGGGGCTGAGAGGATTTCCCAGAAACAGAGTGGGGAGCAGAACAGGCAGACTGAATGAAATACACAGCTGAGGGGAGCAGCCGGCAAGACAAGGAGAAATCTGCTGCACATGCGGGTTATCAGCCTGGCCAGGATCAAACTGATTCTGCAATGGCAGGTCATAGCTTGATATCACTCTGTCTTCAACCCTGAGCCACCTGGGAGGCCCTCTATGACCTGATTTTAAAAGGAGTATAATGGTAGTGAACATATTTATTTTTTAAAATATCCAATGTATTTAATTTAATTACAGGTTATATTATTAAGATGGTAAAACATAAAAAAAATACTAGTTTAGACCACACATGGCAAAGAATTGAACCTAAATACTTTTAGGATAAATAGTTGAGCTTAGTTGTCCTCAACCTTTAATATAAAGTACTAGTAAATATGTAGATACCTTAATTCCCACCTCCAAATATTGTGATTTGGTATATAGACATATTATTTCCTAGTAAGTATCCAGTAGTTCTGACTTAATATCTGGGGATCCTATTTTGAAAATTGTTATCTATTTTACCTTCATCAGTTGATAGATGAAAAGCAAGAAATTCATAGAGATTATAACTTTATTTGAGGTCAATAAGCAGCAGGACAGAGGTCGTGTCAAAATCCAGGTCTCTGAAATACTTGATAAACAGGATATAGCTGTTACCATTCAAATATTATATCTTAGGAGGTGCTCAAAATAGATCTGGTGGAATTCCTTCAGCTTGTCTTCCTCCTCACTTGGAATTCATTTCCCAGAGGAAGGTGGTGTGTCTCCAGATGGCAATGATAACTATGGGGGTAATGTCATGAGTTTTTTCCTTTGGCCCATTTTCTTTCCAACTGACTATTATGTTTTGACATGTTTTTGTTTGTTTGTTTGTTTTTAAGAATTATTTATTTGTGCATACAGAACTGGGGTATAGTCCAGAGGCTCAGGGACGGCTAGAGTTTTCACCATAAACAGAGTGGGGAGCAGAACAGGCAGATTAACGAAGTACACTGCTGAGGGGAGCAATGGGAGGGTCAGGAGAGGTTTGCCACCCCATGTGGTCACCACCCAGGCAGGCGAGAATTGAACTCATCTGGAAGTGTGGAAGTGGCTTTTATTTCTCAGTGCTGTGCTTTAACCTGCTGCGCCAACAGGGAGGGCCAGGCATTTTTTTTTCTATTTCTTTTCTTTTTTTTTTTTTTTAACACAGAATCTGTTGAACATTATCAAGGGAGCCAGAAAATTAGCTGCAAAGAGCCTTATGCCATTTTATAGCTAGAGGTATCTTAGTAATTATCTACTCATACCCTTCATTTTACAGATAGTGAAACTCAGAAACTAGTCTTCTCCAAGGTTGTACAGAATTAAATTTCTCAATAGCCAAATAAATGCTATAAAAATTACTCCCATCTTGAGATTAAACTGAAGTGATAACTAGGAATTAGAGAGGGAGTTTTATATATACGGAAACATCCTTCATAAAAACATTTTTTTAATATCAAGCTAAATAACAAAAATATTATGGAAATTGAAGCACCAACTGAGGTGCTTCAATAGTGAAAGAGACATTGTATATTCTTATGTCAACTTGAAAAAAATAGACAAGGAGATATAACAATAATAATTTTTTGTATGAAGAGAATTTCATTATAGAAGGACATAAACATAATAGGTAGCAGATAAATTCATTTTTAAATGAAAACATAATAGATTTATTTTTATTTTTTCTAGTAATAGATATCATCTTAAGTCCCATTCTATTAAGGTACTGATCTTCAGTAAAATAAGAAAATATGAATTAACTGGGAGACTTCGGTATTCACTGCCAGTCCATCTTCCAAGTTCAAGTGTATGTGAGCTAGTTTATGCTGGGAAATATCTCCAGGAGGTTCTGTTTTGACACCCTGCTCTCCCCGCATATTCCATTAAGCATGCTTTTGTTCATAGAATCTCTATGACTAAAATATAAAATGATAACTAAAACCTTTTGGTCACTAATTTAAGAATTTAAAAGAAACATCTTTCATCATTTTTGTAAATCATTTTCTTCTTAGAGATATTAGCAATTTTTGAGTATTTCCAGCACCTATGGGCAGCTTTTGGTCACATGAAAGTGAAAAGAAAGAAAACTTAGATTTGGGATTCTCGAAATGATCAAATACTTTATGTCAACAACAATCAAGCTTTTCAGTATGTATAACTGTAGTACAGTGGAGAGAAGCATCATGAAAGGGAATCATTTTCTAATTTTATATAATTACCCTGTATACATAAAAGGAAAAGTGAAGAGAAACCACCTGTGTCTCTCCTGAATTTACAAAGTCAACAAACATATTTTTTCATTTTCATATACGTTTGAAAATTGCTAACATGCATAAATTGATAGAACAGAAAAAAGTAAATTCTGTTTATTAAGTTATAAAAGCAGAGGGAAAATATGTGCATTTATTATTTTAAACAACATAAGATGGGGAATAGCAACAGTGACATTAGTTCTTGAGAGAAGAAGCGTCAAAATCAGAAAGGTTTAGGACTCCTCTTTCAGCATGTGGCACGGTGTTTAAGTTGTGACTTTCTGCATAATTTTCAGTTCTCTGTGGCTCAGTTTCCTTTTTTTTTTTTTTAAGATTTATTTATTTATGTATACAGAACTGGGTAAGGCCAGAGGTGCAGGAGTGAGAGGATTTACCAGCGACAGAGTGGGGAGCAGAACAGGCAGATCGCTGAAGTACACTGCTGAGGGGAGCACTTGTTGAGGCAGGAGAGGTCTGCCACACCATGTAGATCACCGAAGCACTGTGGTTAGCATGCAGTGCTGTACTTTAGCCCGCCGCACCACCAGGGAGGACCCTGTTTTCTTTTATGTAAAATGAGCCTAATAACAGTTACCCTGATGCTAATCATCAGTTCTTCTTTGTGAGGATTAAATGAGTTAATATTCTAAGTGCTTACATATGAATATTATTATCTTTGCAAATTTTGAGCATTTACCATAGTTATTCACAATTCTGTTATGTTTCTATGTCTTACTACATTTTTTCAGGGATAAAGTTTCCCTAATATTTCCTGTCAGACAGCTGTGAGAAACAGAACACTTGCAATCAAGGCAAAATGCATTCTGGGAGGAAAATGATTAGACATCTATGGAGGAAATAATATCTGAGAATTACAGATAACTACGATCTCTTTTTATCAGCAACATTCTTCGATTCCATTATTTTTGACAGGAAATGTACATGTTGAGCCTTTCCCAATGAAATTAATGACATTTTTCCTTTGGTTTACAGGAGCCATCACCTGTGCGGCCGACATGTTCAGCTGCCAAGGCTCCCACGCCTGTGTGCCCCGACACTGGCTTTGCGATGGTGAAAGGGACTGCCCAAATGGAAGTGATGAGCTCTCCACAGCAGGCTGCGGTATGACACATGCTGCTGCGTGACAGAAAGCTGCTGCAGCATCCTCAAGCTTATATTTTCTTACTACTCACCATATTACATTTTATCTCACTGCCCCATCCCTGAATTCACAGGTTATATCCAACTTAATCGAGTGGGAAGTTGTCATCATAGCAGTTCAGCTGCCCCTGTCACCACTGTGGAGAATGTTTCAAACATGCACAGTGGGATTACCCTTTTAAAACCATTCTGATAAACACAGATTTGTCATTTCACTTCTGAGATAACTGCTGAGATAATGTAACCACCAGATGTGTGTGAGAGTATGGTAGTTTGCTATTTTCTTTTTAGCATCCTCTACCTCCTCCCCTTACTGATACAACTCCTAGATTGCCTATTATAGATACTCTGTCAGTGGCTGCTGTGACCTTAAATAACTGCTGATCAGAAGGTCAGTAAACATCTATTAGTCCTACAGATAGGGTATTAACCTTTAGGTCAGGTAAAAATAGTATGAATATAGCTGAATGAAGCTGAAGGATCAGAGGAATACCTTTGGAGGTCAGACAATTTACCAAATTTCTGCCTCTAGGTCACCTCAGGAAATTTTCAAGGATTACTCAATAGTAAAAATGTAGATAAATTCCCTTGCATGACAAGAAGGGACTGACTGTTGGAATGCAGGGCTTAAGGTCACATAGGGGACCTGTTGAGCTGAGAAGTTGATCTGAATCAGAGCTGTGAACTCTGCTTATTAAAATGAACTCACCAGTCTGACCAGTACTCAGATCTTTAAAATTCTATTTGAAGCCATAATGGTCAGAGTGTGTATCAGGGGTGTGTGTATATGGGGATAGTTAAAGCAAAGAATGAAGAAGAAAACGGAGACAGGCATATGTATACAGAACTCATGCTATTATAGAATAATTCACTTTGATCTTGAAACTCATATGTGTGTCGAAAAAGGTCAATGGGGCCACTGAGGGTGGCATAATAAAGGATTATGCATAAATTCTGGGATCCAGATGGTCCCAATATACTGTTGCTAGTGCAGCAAGTTAACACTCTGGGAGGCACATTAACACTTTTGGACCACATGGGTATCATTAGGTAAATTATGCTAAAATACAGCAAATTGTACTCAAGTGACCTGAAAGTGTTAAAGCCAAATAAGCCTTTGTCGCTTAGTGTTTTAAAAAATAATTCATGTATTAGGACTGGCATAATTCACTTGAACTATATAAGCTGTCACAGTTTAAAGTTAGAGAAGTTATTAGTAATTGAATTTTACTTTGATTATAAGTGGGCTATTTTTAAAGCTGTTCCTATGTGGCTTCCATATCATGTTGACTTGATTAACAGCAAAGAAATCTTTTAGTTTTACCTCCTCATATCTTTATTTCAATTATTACTAAGGTGAGAGCAGAGATTTCCTTTCTTCATGGATTCTGATAGTGTTAGGCATAGGGAGCTGATACACATATAAAAGCATAATTGTGATACCTTATGTGACAGATGATCTATAGAAAAGATACTAAGTTATCACAAATAAATAGTATATAAAGCAGTCTAGAAGACTCATGAACAATTTCAAGAAAAAAGTAGTACCATAACATGAGTTGTGAAGGACAAAGAAGTGAGAGGTGTTCTAAATACAGTGTCTCTTAAGACATGGAGGGGAATGCTTGGAAGACATCTACATTTGTTTAAGTGCCCATTATCCATCAACTATTTTAGGAGGTGCTTTTATTTGTATTATTGAATTCCCAATCTCAGTGAAGTGGTTTTGGGGAAGTGCCAAAAATAATTGTTACATAGATAGAAATTTAAATAGCACTTGGGAATATACTGAGTACCTAAAATAAACAGATCTGTTTCATATACTTTTGATTGTTCTTGCAAGAAATTTATCAGATAGATAGATTTTATTATCACCATTAAATAGGTAAATAAGCAAAATCATCAAGATGGTAATTCCCCCTGCAATCCTATGTTTATTGAAACACTATTAACAATAGTCAAGATATGGAAACAGCCTAAATGTCCCCAAGGAGATGAATGGATTAAGGAGCTGTGATATATATACAGTGGAATACTATTCATTGATCAGAAAAGATGAACTCGTACCATTTGTGGTAATATTGCTGGAGCTGGAAGGGTGATGCTAAGTGAAACAAGTCAGAGGGAAAAAAAATTACATGGTTTCACTTACATGTGCAATGTATGAAAACAACAGAAAGGACCAGATAGACAAAATTTAAAAGCTATTCACAGATATGAAACATCCAGGAGGGGTGTGGCATAGAAAGGAATGGGGAGAGGTTAAATGGTTGGGATAATGGGGAAGAACACAGGACTTTAGGTAGTAAGCTGTGGGTTCATTGGTGGTAGATAAAGAATGGTGACCATACCTGAAGGGAGAAATTATAATTGTCCAAAAAGTAACAGTGATATAAGAAAAAATTACTACATTTAAAAATTAAATAGAAATTACTCTCAGTGTAACTACTAAACAAGTAAATATTTATTACAATTATATAAATATAATGTCATGAATAGCAAGATAAAGCAAGAGATTATTCATTGTCATTTGGTCACTACATGAATGAGTTTAAGTGCTGACAGATTTTATTTGAAGGATTAGATACAGTATGTACATACAATGAAAATACTAGAAATGCTGCAGCTTTCTTTTCCTTTAAAAAAAAAAGGCAGTTTTCTCAAAGATACAAATGTATGCGGCAGAGTGACTTTTTTCAAAACTTTCCTCTGTACAGTGTACTAAAATAGTATATTGTAGAATCTTTTTATTAAGTTTTTGAGATAAAGTTTACATTTAACATCATATTGTACTTTATGTATATCACAAAGTGCATTGATATATGTATACATTGTGAAATTACAATATGTTAGTACTTTGAAACTTAGCATTACATTTCTTTCCAATGGAGAAATGCATAAGTGAAATACTTAAACAATCCCTGAAAACCTCTTATTCCATACATAGTAAATTAACAGTTACTACCTCTGAACAAACTGTTGTCTTTTCAACTTTTGCTGAAATTTTATAGCACATTGCAATAAACCATTTGTCCTACCAGTTATGTCTTTGCTAGAGCATTACTTTCATGAAGCAGTATCCCAAAAGGACTGATCCTCACACTGACATTCCTAACTTGTATGGTGCTTATATGTGGGCTCATCCTGCCATAGATAATTGCAGACCTTTCAGCGTCTACACTAAACATCATGCAGAATTTCTAAATTCTTAAAAACAATGACTTGCTCAGTCCTTTTACTCTTTTTACCTACATGGTGGGAATTAACATTTGCTGATCTTTCAGGTCCATTTTTCACAAAGAAACATGGCTTTTTTACTTTACTAGCATTACAATAGGCATCAGGAGAAAACCCTGCTGCATTATTATAGTTGAGTGATTTTTATAAATCACAAATGAAGCTTTGAATTTTCCCTTTAGTAGATTTTAAAATTGCTACATGGCCTACAATTTCAGGGTTGCTCAAAAATGATTGACTATATTATTACTACAACTGAATTTTTGTGTCTATTTTAATGTATTCTAATATATTAATGTATACATATCAATGTCATTAGCTTATCTGATATTTGAATATATTGGTCAAGTATTTTTGTTGACTCTGAATTATTGAGTGTGACAGTATACATTCGCTAAACTGCTAGGTTGGTGGGAAACAAACTAGGGTGTTTATCTAATTTTATATTTTGTGATGTCTTTTTTAGCTCCCAATAACACATGTGATGGAAACACATTCATGTGTCATAATAAAGTGTGCATTCCCAAGCAATTTGTTTGTGATCATGATGATGACTGTGGGGATGGCTCTGATGAGTCCCTACAATGTGGTAAGTACTTCTCAACTTTTTGTGGAGGTATATTTCAGCTTAAGTCTTTTGAAACAAGTCAATATATAAAAATAAATAACAAAACAAACACATTGATGTCATGAAAAACAGCAAAATTATGTTATACACAAATGCATCGTTAAAATTCTAGCATAAATACATAATTTTTGGAAGACATGGAGTATTTGGAAATAAACCAAGTGTTACTCCTTTAAGTAATTACACTGAAAATACTTGTAAAAATATCTGTGGTTTTACGTACTTTAAAAGCCTTGGAGTCTAAACAAAATATCTGATGAGCCTTATAACCAAATTAAATATTTTAGAATCAAATATCTTATATATAACTCACAAAGAAAGAATATAATCACAATTCCCAGAAAAATTGTAGCCTTAACAATTTCTACTTGCTCTATATTTATACACATGAAATGACTTGCTAAAATTTAATATTACCAGAAAATTTATCTTACCATTACATACACATGTATGCAACCATTAAATAACACATGTATACCTTCTATGATAAACATCGATACATTAAAAATGCTAAGCTGCAATTGAAATATTGTCTGTATTTTTGTAAATATTTAAATGTATACATGAGTAGCTATTAAATGAAAAGTCATGAAGTCCACATATCCTCTAGAGAGGTAGTAGATTAAGTGCCTTCCTTTGTCCTCCCTTTGCAGTGTCTATGGCTTTGTTCATTGATAGGAATCTATTTGAAATCAGTGGATATCAGTGTTTAAATATCATTTTAACATTAAATCATAGATTCAATATGATATTTTAAAAGCTATGTAAAATTCTAGATGTAACTCTAAATTAGTTATGTTCAATCTGTGTTTTCCCCACCAGAGCCTGAGTTGGTTAATAAGGACTTGAGTTCCAACAAGAAAAAAATTAGAGACAAACATTAAAATCAGAAATATAATACAGGAAAATACCATACACTGTGCAGATGGGAATAAGAATCATAGTACATGGAAATCATGTTTAGAAAATAATTCTTGAGGTACTAAAGAACAGAAGCAGGAAATATTAAGAAGTAACATGTAAGTGCTAGAGAGCATGCCATGGTGCTCAAAACATGGGCTCTGAAGCCAAAGACGATGGTCCAAGTCCTGCCTTTTACTGTGACCTTGAAAGATGAACTTCACTTGCTTTTTCCCAATTGGAAGAATATATATATAGTAGTGCTTAATTCTTAATATTATTAAGATAATTAAATATTTGATAATTAAAACAGTGCCAGTCATGTAGCAAATTCTTTCTATGCTTACATAGACCTACACATGACATGGATGAAAAATCACAATAAGTCTTTTGCGAGGTGAGTTGAAGTTAGGGAGTTAAAGAAAAATTCCAAATAGTCTGAAATACAAAGTCAAATAAAGGTGCTTAATTATTTTAGTTCTCTGTACATTTTAAAACAGGGGAATGCCAGTCAAATTTATGTTTGAGAACAAACTGTTTCCACAGAGTAGACAAAATATCGCCATGCCAGAGAGGAGCCAGAAGAGGGAAATAGATAAATCAGGAGGTGATATGGATGGGGGCTGCCACAAGTGAGTTTTGAAACACAGGAGGTTAAGGTTCAGTTTTGCTAGTGTGGTAGAAGAATGATATAAACAAGAATTTATTTTGAATATTTTGAATATGAAGTGCTAGGCAATCACAAGAAGCCATATAATGTTCAAAAACTGAGTTCTGGCAATCAGAAGTACAACCAGGAAGAGTAATATTAAATGTGTGGCCATCAACCTAACGGTTACATTCAAATTATGACAAAGAGTAAGAAAGGCAACCATAGAGAAGGGGAAAAGGGAAAACAATGGACTAATGTTTCAATTCCACCTCTTTTATATATGTATAAATAGATTATTCTTCATTTTGTACATATTTTCATCTTGGTTGTAACCCACATGGACTTCCCACCACACTTCACCTATGTGCCATCACCATTGTCTCATATGTTCTTCCCACCCTCGTTTTGATCTTGTTCCCCTTCCCTCCCCCATAGAATGTCTCTGGTTTATAGTTGTTAGTTGATTCTTTTTTACTTTACTTTTTTTTACTTTTTTACAATTTTACAATTACTAAATATATACACACTCAATTTATATATATATATACACACACATATATGTGTATATATACATATATGTGTATATATACATATATACACACATACACACACATATATATCCCTTATATCCCTTACATGCCTACTATGAGTAAATCCATCCAGTATTTTCTTTTATTTCTGCTTATTTCACTAAGCATGAACTTTTCCACTTCCATCCATGTTGCCACAAATGGCATGAGTTTATCGTTTTTTGATTGCTGAGTAAGAGTCACTTGTGTATATATACCACATCTTCTTGATCCAGTCATCTATTTTTGGGCATTTGAATTGATTCCACATCTTCCCTATTGTAAATAGGGCAGCAGTAAACATAGGAGTTCAGCTGTCCCTTTGAATTATTGTTTTTTGTGTCCTTTGGTTAGATTCCTAGGAGTAGAATTGCTGGATCATATGGAAGCTCCATTTATTGCAGTTTGAGAAACCTCCACACAGCTTTCCATAGTGGTTGCACCAGTTTGCATTCCCACCAGCAGTGTTGGAGAGTTCCTTTTTCTCCACAGCCTTGACAACATTAATTGTTGCTTGTTTTGTTAATATGTGGCATTCTCACTGGTGTGAGGTAGTATCTCATTGTGGTTTTGATTTGCATTTCCCTTATTACAAGTGATGCTGAACATTTTTTCATATACCTGTTGGCCGTCTGCATTTCCTTTTTTGGAGAATTGTCTTGGTAGTGTTTCTACCCATTTTTTGATAGGGTTATTCACTTTATATTTGTTGAGTTTCACCAGCTCTTTGTACATATTTGTGATTAGTCCTTTATCATTTGTATTATGTTTGAAAATTTTCTCCCAGTCAGTGGGAATTCTGTTTGTTTTATGTAGTGTCTTGTTTGCTATACAGAAGCTCTTCAATATGATGTAGTCCCAGCTGTTTATACTTTCTTTCAATATCATTGATATGGGTGATGTAACTTTAAAGAGGTTACTGAGCTGTATGTCATGTTGAGGTAGTAGTAATCTAGCTCATTTTTTTTGCATGTAGCAGCCCAGCTTTTCCAGCACCATTTGCTGAACAAACTTTCTTTGTTCCAGTCCTCCCTGGTGGATCAGTGAGTTAAAGTGCAACATTGCAAGCTAGCCACAGCCACTTCAGTGTTAGATCCCCAGACCCAGAGATGATCCACATGGCATGGCAGACCTCTCCTGACCCCCCCCACTGCTCCCCTCATCAGTGTACTTTGTTGATCTGCCTGTTCTGTCTCTGGTGAATCCTCTCACCACCCCTTCACCTCAGGCCTGTACCCCAGTTCTATATGCATAAATAAAAAATATTTTAAAAAATTAAGCTATGTTAAAAAAAAAAAACTGTCTTTGTTCCATTCATATTCTTTGCTACTTTGTCAAAGATTAGCTGTTCCATAAAGCTGTGGATTTATATCTGAGTGTTCTATTTGATTCCATTGGTATGTATGTCTGTTTTTGTTCCAGTACCCTGCAGTCTTAATTATTATGGCTTTATAGTATATTTGAAGTATGGGAGTGTGATACCACCATTCCCTTCTTTTTTATTCAGAAGATCCTTTGGCTATTCAAGGTTTTCTGTAACTCCATAAGAATTTCATCAGTATTTTTTTCTGTTTCTTTGAAAAATGTCATTGAAATTGTTATAGGAATAGCTTTGGTAGAAAAGGACTTCATACTAAAAGAGGGGAAGAAAAAGAACAGCTAAAGCAAAGTTAGAAAACAAGTGGGTTAATTAGTTATTACAGCAAAAAACTTTTCCCAAAGTTTTAGTCAACAACATCAAATGCTGCAAGAAAGTGAAGTAACCAGGAGTCTCAAACATTTTTTTTTTTAACTTGACAATCAATTGGCATTTTTATTTCTAAGAGGAATTTCAGAAGGTACATGGTGTAGAACTAAGAACGTAATGGGTCAGAAATGAACTGACATGGGGAAAACAAGATTGGACAGTATAGAGAATCAGATGTGTGGTCAAGAGGCATGCAAGTGGAGTTTAATGTTTATTGGACTAGAAGCACTGGGTATTGATTGGGGTGGAGGATCTGGTAAAGGAGAGGAAAGGACATTTTAAAACCATATCACTTTACTGTTCTCTACGGTAAACATTTTTCAATTGGAATTTTGTTTGTTTTTAAAGCATAAACATCTTACTCTCGCTCTTAAAAAGCTTAATGTTTGCTCAGTTTACCAGAATCTTTCTAATAGAAATAGCAGTTTTTATTGGCAGCAAATTTAGGGGAAAATCCAATCTAAAATTTATGGCATTAAAAATCAGATGAGTTGGCCCTCCCTGGTGGCCCAGCGGGTTAAAGCACAGCACTGAGAATCTAAAGACGCTTCCGCATGAGTTCGATTCCCGCCTGCCCCGGAGGTGACCACATGGCGTGGCAGACCTCTCCTGACCCGCCCGCTGCTCCCCTCAGCAGTGTACTTCGTTGATCTGCCTGTTCTGTTCCCCGCTCTGTCTCTGGTGAAGCCTCTCACCGCCCCTGAGCCTCTGGCCTGTACCCCAGTTCTGTATGCACAAATAAATAAATCTTAAAAAAAAAAAAATCAGATGAGTTAAACTTACAAACAGGCATAGGTATAACAATTGATGGGTTGATCAGTGATTTGCATAAAAATTTTAATGCCTTTAAGAATTAATATATAAGATAATTACAATAGTTTCTGTGCTTATTGCTCTATTAATTGTCTTTTAATTTTTGCATTGTAACAAATGTCGTTATAATTTGAATGCTGTTTCCAAACATGAACATGCCATTAGAGACTCTGAGAACTGTCATTATAACTGAATCAATTTAGCCGTATGTTAGTGCTATACATCCCAAATTTAGTCTTGAAAAAATATTCAAATAGCATTCATTTTAATTTTCCTTCTATGTGAAAATATTAGGTATATTTGAGTGTTATATTCATTTTTTCCTTACAAAGAATCAGTGTTTTGTCTGTGACTGTATTTTTCTAAATATTTATTCTACTCTCCACCCGCCTGCAAAAAAAAAGAAAGAAAAATCCACCGTCAAAGAAAAAAAGTACTGTTTCCTGTGGGAGGTATGGTTATCTAGGTACATTGTACATTAGGGAATAAATGTTTTAATGAATGTTTGTTATATTAATTTGTCTCTAGAGTACCGAAAATGTAATGCAGAAGAATTTAATTGTGCTGATGGACGATGTCTTTTAAATAATCAGTGGCAGTGTGATGGAGACTTTGACTGCCCTGACCATTCTGATGAAGCACCTTTAAACCCAAAGTGTAAAAATGCAGGTAAAGAAAATACATGACATTGTGCTTATTCCAAAATCTGGGTTTTTGATTGAAAAACTATAATTGATGTTTAGTCAAGTATGATACTCAATAAAGGAAATACAAATTATAACCATGTGATACATGTTGTGGAACATGCATGATCCTAATAACCAACTACATTTAGGGACCACTCCTGGAAGTGTAAGACTACACCAAAAATTTCATGATATAAGAAATGAACCATATCAATCTATCTTGTAGATTCTCAAAAAAATGTTATTATTAATATATCCATAATATAAATATATCTGTGGGCTTATTTGAAAGTTCCAGCATAAAAGTTGAGGGAAAATATCTATATTATTCATATATAAGCACATGAAATAAATTCCATACCATATGAATATTATTACTTTGTACACCTATACATATGTATGTGTGTGTACATGCATATACACACACACACATACACATGCACACACATAGAGAGCAAGAGATCCAATTTTTGGTCTGTTTATTACCTTACCATTCCAAAGGCTGATAATTAGCATATATTTCAAAATAGAAATAATTTCTTTTCTAGTATATTTTACTTGTAAATAGGCCTTCCTTTATCATATTTGATGAGTAATATTCAGTCATCAGGTTTTGAGTTGCTTCAAAACCTGGACTGTGTCCAAGGCTATATTTATAACAACTATTATTCACCACAAATGCCCTTTATATGCCATGACTTAAAAATGTCATTGTTATAACTTCTATTATACTACTATTAAGCTACTATTATATTACTATTAAACTACTCTTATACTTTTGAACTCATTCTTCATAATGAAAGCAGCATTATTCCAAAAATCTTACTACAGATACTTACTTTGATGACTAAATTTCATAGTAAAGCTAGAATTGCAATAAGTGTCAAAATTAAAGTACAATTTGCCTTTGGTTTGATATATTTTTATATACAATATTAATCTGAATATAACCCATTTTAACGGTAAATATATTTATGATAATTTTTGAAAGATACTTTATTGTATTTGTGAGTGTTTGCAACAGCTTTAGTATAAAACAATGGCATGCCCTTTATGTTCCATTTGTTTTATTTTCTTTTTCCAGAACAGTCATGCAACAGTTCATTTTTTATGTGCAAAAATGGCAGGTGCATTCCCAGTGGAGATCTTTGTGACAATAAGGATGACTGTGGTGATGGCTCAGATGAGAAAAACTGCCATATAAATGAATGTCTGAGTAGGAAAATGAGTGGATGTTCTCAGGACTGTCAGGACCTTCCAGTAAGTTATAAGGTAAGTACTCAACAGAAATGGCAAATCATGATATATTTGAATTTTTGAATGATGAAAACTATTTAATCCAATATAGCTATGAAATATAAAACTTCACAATGTTGATAGGTAAAATATTTAAAGGGAAAGTGTCTATTTAAATACTGCAATAACAGTACAGTAAAATAATAATGAGACTGATTAAATGTTGAACATAATGAACACACTGAACCCTGGAAAAACAATACCAAGACAAGTGTTCCTAGAGACACTGATATAGAAATAGTTATATATAAGTACGTAAATAGCTCTTAACTTCCTGTTTTTCCTCTTATATTTTCCCTGTCATACATCTTTAAATTAGAATAAGCGTATTGATCATTTACTTACTACAACACTGGAAAGCACACTATTTTTTCATATAAACAGACATGAGACATACATATAAACAGGAAGGAAAAAAGCAGACACATGAGTTATTAGGATTGAGGGAAGGTGTGCTACAAAATAAGCCATGCCTAATATCCTAATTATTTTTTGTTATTACCATTACCCTAAAAGAACTAACTGACTGTTGATTGATGTGAGTAGCTTTTAAAACTACCTGTTTCAGTATGTTAGAAAGGAAAGCACAAAGTAACATAAAGGTGTGCTTAGGTTAAAATTGTTTATGTATATGTGAGAAATCTCAGGAGGAGTAGGTCAATTCAAATTTGTCTTTTAAAATAAACATTAGCTCTGAATGAAACTCATAAAACACAGAGCCTATAGAAGACACAGAATTTGCACAGATTAGAACATAGTCTAGTTACAGTCAAATGGTGATGGCACATGGGTGAATCAGTGGTGGGAAGTTCACAGGGATTACAACCGAGATGAAAAAAAAAAAAAATGCACAAAATGAAGAATGATGTAAAATAATAATTATTATTATTTTTTAAAAGAACAACATATCCTAGTAACTGGGGACATTTATAGACATGGTGCTTTAGGAAAAACCTTGACAAATCATAGTGTATCCAAGCACTTTGTCATTTTATGACAAGTAAATTTAATCTAATGTTAATGTTTGCCATTTTTAATCTCTGGATTTCTGACACTGTAATTAAATTAACTAAGCTGCTTAAGATTGTAGACATAGGTCAAAACTAAAAACAGCAATAATTTCCCTTTCTAAGTAAAAATAGAGAAGAAAAGTGATATACCAAAAGAGACTTAATTAAAAAAAGTTTTTAGTCCCAATATTATATTTAAGGAAATAGGTTAAACATACAGACTAAAAACATACCCGTACTCACTCACAAACACTGTTATTGGGAAAGGAAACGAGACAAATGAGCCAGGACATCTCTTAATGAGATGAGTATGCATCAAATAATTAATTTTGATTAAAGTTTTGAAACCAAATGAAGCAGAAAGAATATTATTGGTGGCTTATCTATAATCCATAAAGAAATGTTTCCTGAACTCAGGGAATATACTTACAATTATTATAGGCATCTAGCCTACAACAATGTAAATAATATAATTTGTTTTAGGGGTTATATATAACTTTTTAGTTATGACACATGGAATATATAAATGCCATTTGTAATATAGGTAAAATACATCACAGTCTATAAACCATATGAATCGCATAAAATATATGTCATTGTATTTTTCTAAACTTTAAATTTAAAAATGGATCCATTTGTGTTTTTATTATAGACATTCAAAATGCATCAATCATGGTAAAATATAAACATTTTAGAATAACAAATGGTCATCTTTTTGACATAAAATCAAAACTTAATGTTAAATAATTTCAAATGCCCACATTTAAGAAATAACAAATTGAAATTCCATATTTAGGAAACTGCCTTTGATAGAAGTTGGTATCATCCAAATAACTATTGAATCACACTTTTAATTGCTTTATAGAGAACTCACACAGAAAAACTTGATAAATATCTTCACAATATCATCATTTTTATTTTCACTTCTCTGAAGGTATCACAGAAGGAAGTGAGAATTCTAGCTAAAACAGTTTTTAATCATTTAGGAAGTCTGTATAGATGATGCCTCACTGAATTGTTAATGATTGAGTTACTGATTATGTACATGTATCAAAACTATTGAGTGAATTGAAACATCTCTTGTGGGAAAGAAGACACAACAAAATTTAAGGAGCTGAGAGCCACATGATACAGCAGACTTCTGTTTTGCCTACTACTCTGCTCAGCAGTGCATTTCAGTCAATCTGCCTGTTCTGCTCCCCCCTCTGTCTCTGGTGAATCCTCTCACCTTTGCACTTCTGTACGTACTCCAGGTCTTGTATGCATAGATAAATACAGATTAAAAAAATAAATGAAGCTAAATTTAGATATTGTAGACTGTGAATAATGTTCATGTTTGCTATAAAACAAATACAATGTATCTAACCAAGGGAACAATAACATTTAATGAAAGAAAAACTCTTATTTTGATGGGAAAGATAATTTACCATATAAAAATAAATGTACATCAGGGAGAGGAGTAAATATCAATGTATACATGATAAGTAAAATAGTCAATATTTCCAAGTAACACTTTTAATCACTTCAGAAAGTTATTCTAGAAGTAATAGAAACAGTTTGAATAGCTATATTTCTTCCTAGTAACTGTTTACCCCCATATAAATATTAATAAAAATCATGAAAATTTGAAATAGTTATTTATGAGGAGGAACATTAAGATGGTATTTAATATATATAAATCTTATTAATAAAATTATTTGTTAAAATAAAGTTGAATAAATTTTAACCCATATTTTCTATTAAATATAAGTGATCATTATTTTCTTTAATTTATAAAAATTAGGCACTAGAATTTCTCTATGATTTCTTTTGATTATTTGGAAGAAAAATTGATTTTGTTAAAAACAAGATTAATCTACTGGAGAGAAAATTCTCTTTTAGAAATATTCCCTTTCAATAAGCATACATTCAAGTTCCTTTAACAAGTTATTGTAAACCATAAATGTTCTAATTTCATTATATTTGCTAGTTTTTACCATATTTTACCTTCAAGAAATTAGCTTTCTATAAAAACTAAATTGTATATTTGATATCATGGTTCTATAAACCTGACATTAGCTATTAAATGTGATTTTCTGACACCTAATTAAAATTGGTATATTGTTTATTTTTATTATACTGTTTGAGAGAACTTCATACATTCTTGCAAATTCCATTGATTTGCCCTAAAATGCCCCTTGAATTTACACTATCCCTGTGGCTGCCTATGGTCTTCCAGTTTCTTCACACCATGATCACATTCTAGTGTTTCCAGTAATGTCTGTTTTGTTTCCTATCAGTTTCTCATTTTCTTTCCTAAAGTTATTTATTTTAAAAATTGTGACAAAATATGCTTGATAAAATTTATCATTTTGACCATTTTTAAGTGTATACTTCATTTAAATTAAATATCTCATTTTCTTTTGCTCTAGAGCAAGTGTCTATTCCCCTGACTTTCTATATGTAGAACAGATAAGACTACTCAAGAAAAATAATAATATCATAGGCTAATTTATGATAAGGCAAAGTTGTAAAATCAAACTCTAGCTTTTCTTTGACTACAGTGTACTACTGGGATCTGGATATTGAAAACACTTTCCATAATGCTGAGGATTATTAGATAAATATTGGTGCAAATAGTTAAAGATAAAAGCACTGAGAACTTAAAGGGATTCTTTCCTTGTGAAAGATTTATTAAAAGGTACTGATTTCTCTTTTGAGTACTTTCAGGTGATGTTGATTTTGCTCCCCTCCCCTGCCAAATAGTGAAAATATATTTTTTACCTAAAAATTAATTCCACTATTCAATGAATTGTTTGCAGATTATTTAATAACATGTATGCCTAACACTTTCCCCAACAGAAATAACATTTGAAATGCTTAGTATGATTAACTCCTAAAAGCTAATAAAAGCAACTTAAGAGTCCCTTCTTAATTCACTATCCTTCAAAATGCTCAAGTTTTTTATTCAAAGGCCACTAAGAGTGTTGATAAAGGTTAATGTGATCATTACCATCTGGTCAATTATAGCTTCATTTTGTATAATTATGATTTTCATATGCTACTTGGCAGGGACTGAAAGTCAATGACCAATCACAGCATAAAATTTTTCAGTGACATTGTAGTGAGAATTGATATACCAGCTAAAAAATATATTTCTTATCATTATCAGATGGATATAAATAACATGATAGAGGTGCTCACGAAAGTTTGATTAAAAAAAAGTATAAAAGTATAATTTGTGGTGGGATAGCTATGCTATTATTTCTCCAGGCAACATTATATGCCTGATTGTGAAATCAGATCAGATATGTAAACAATCTTAAGATAATAATACCTACATCATATTTCTTTAAGGCTCTGAAGTAACCTTTGACAATGGTGGTAATATTTAAAACTCCATGTAAGGGTAATTATTGCAGTTGTTCACATCTTTCATAGTGATATATAATGCAATAGAAAAAGAATAGAAGAATAGTTGACAGTTTAGTTGTTTTCATTGCAGTTCTTTAGCCAAATGGTTTTGGGGATCTCTGTTACTTTGAGCAATCATGTGGATCTTAGAAGATCAATGAAGATATTTGAGAGAGTGCTTTTGTGACTTTATTTTCTCATAATTGCGATTCTTATGAAATCAGTATGGAAAAGAAAAGACTTCCTGATAACTATTCTTAAATGATTTTCTTGCTTAACTCAGGCTAAAGGAATATCTGATAGGGAAAGACAGTGATGATGATATGAATTGATTATGCTTGTTTTTCATTCTCCAGTGCAAATGCTGGCCTGGATTTCAACTGAAGGATGATGGTAAAACATGTGTAGACATTGATGAATGCTCTTCAGGCTTTCCATGTAGCCAGCAATGCATCAATACATATGGGACCTACAAGTGCCTCTGTACAGATGGGTATGAAATACACCCTGATAACCCAAATGGCTGCAAATCACTATCAGGTATGGAATTGAACTTGTCCACTGATCCAACCTAAGTTACAAAAATGGATCCTGAAATTTATGACCATACTACTGAATTTACTCTTGCTTGCTATTTCAGAAAAATCAAAATTCTTTTCTACTAACTTGATATGGAAAATTGGGGTGCTGTCCTCACCATATTTTTTTTGTAACAGTGCATTATGGTCTACTGAATTATCAAATGTTTTATGGATTTTAAGAGTGCTCTTAAGTGAAAGAATTTTCTCTAGTTTCCTGATAGATCATAGAAATTCAGGACCCAGTTGGACCAAGACTATAAAAAGCTTATCGTGACAGTATTGTAATACTTTACAACATTCTTTTACATGCATATAAAAAAAAAGCCCATCAGCTATATAAGGCAATTTGAAATCTTACCATGTTTTCAGTGATTCTCTTAATCAAATACTATTAAACTTCTATTTATTCTGTCATGTGTTTGCCTCAATAGTAGAGTGTTTGACTTTGTAAATTAGAAAATTTGATAAAACACAGCATCAACTTTGAAAATATTGTAATTCATTAGGGCAGATATCAAACAGATTTAAAATGAGGTAAAGCAGTATATATGAATGGCTATTAAAATGGGCAGAAAATGGTGTATATGGTATCTTTCACCCCCTTTGTGTGGGTGTGTATGTGTGCGTGTGTGTAAAGGGGTCAAGTGGTAATGCCAGTTTGTCATATAGATATATGAAGGTGAATGAATTTAGAGACTTAGATGTTCCTCATCATTTCATGAAACAGTACAAGGGATAGGAATTTGAAAAAAATACTTAACTATTTAAAATTTTGCATATTATGGAGAAAAATAAGTCTTCAATTTTTTTTTTCATTCTCATTTACTTATTCTTGTAATAGTCTTACCCAAATCATTGTGTGTATTATTTGGAGCTATTGCAATGTTCCTATCTTACTGTTTTTGGCCAAGACATGATTTGCTACACCTCTGAGATGGTGACATGATTTAAGAAAGCATAAAATTTCAAAACCATTCAGTGTTTTCATTGCTTTAAACTTTTCACCAAAGATTGTATGGGAAATAATGAATGCTAATGATTACAGTTTGAGTCTTGTGATATCATATATCTATGTTGTAGTTGTTTTAGTTCATGATTAGAAGCTAGTAATAATTTTGATTTAAAAAGTGTTCCTCTCATTTAGAGGTTAGATTTTTTTTCAAATACTTTGAAATGTAATTTAAAAATTATTATATTAACCTAAGGTATTAAAATACATTGATTCAGTCATTCATATACATAATATGACAACCACCATAATTTTAACTAATGCTTTCATCACTTTACATAATTGCCATTTATACTTTGTGATCAGAAATTTTAAAATCTACTCTCTTTGTAACTTTCAAACATAGAGTACTGTGTTATCTGCAGTCTTAGTAATGTGCATGAGAACCTTAGACTAAATCTTTTTTTTTTTTTTTTTTTAAGATTTATTTATTTGTGCATACAGAACAGGGGTACAGGCCAGAGGCTCAGGGGCGGTGAGAGGCTTCACCAGAGACAGAGTGGGGAACAGAACAGGCAGATCAACGAAGTACACTGCTGAGGGGAGCAGCGGGCGGGTCAGGAGAGGTCTGCCACGCCATGTGGTCTCCTCCAGGGCAGGCGGGAATCGAACTCATGCGGAAGCGGCTTTAGATTCTCAGTGCTGTGCTTTAACCCGCTGCGCCACCAGGGAGGGCCAGACTAAATCTTTTAATACCTTAAACCAATAGCTTCACATTTCTTTCACCCCTTCAGATGCTACTAACCAGCATTCCACTCTCTGTTCTAGCCTTTGTAAATACAGGTCTTTCTCCAACTAATTTCACTTGTATAATATCCTTAATGACCAGCTATGGTATTCCAAAGAGCAGGACTACCTTCTTTCTCATGATTGACTAATACTCCACATATGTACATATATGTAAAATATTTGATGCATTTGTTTATCTGTTGATGGGCACTTAGGTTATTTCCTTGTTTCTCTAGCTTGACTATTGTGATTAATAGTCAATAAAATATTAATAAGCAATAAAACTATAAACATAGTAGATATCACTTAGATATCTTGATTACATTTCATAGAAAGATAGATTGATGTACATATGTACATTGATAGATAATATGTTAATTCAATTTAAAAAAATTGAGGAAATGCCATGCTATTTTCTATATAAAAATAGCCTGTTTATTTTCCCATCAATAGCATACAAAGATTCCTTTTTTCCACAACTTTGCCAACACTAACTTCTTTTTAAGAATACTCATTCCTACCATGTGATATGACATTCATTGTGGTTTTGATTTGCCTTTTCTTGGTGACAGAGATGTTTAAGTATCTTTTCATTACCTATTAGCTATTTGAACATTTACTTTGAAAAAAAAAAAAAAAACCTATTCAGTTTTTCTGCAAATTTTTTTTAAGATTTATTTATTCATATACAACTGGGGTACAGCCCAGAGATGAGGAGGGTGAGAGAACTCACCAGAGACAGAGTGGGGAGCAGAACAGGCAAATCGATGAAATACACTGCTGAGGGGAGCAGTGGGCAGGTCAGGAGAGGTCTGCCACGACATGTGGGTCACCTCCAGGGCAGGCAGGGATCAAACTCATGCGGAAGTGGTTTAAGCTTCTTAGTGCTGTGCTATAACCCACTGTGCCACAAGGAAGGGCCCATTCTTCTGCAAATTTTTAAGTTAGAGTTTTGGTGGTGTTGATTTACATGAAATATTTATATATTTTGGATTTTTAAACCCTTATAGATACATGCTATACAAATATTTTCTCCCATACCATAGTTTTATGCTGATTGTTTTTCTCCTGTACACAATTCTTTTAGCTTGATATCCTTCTACTTCTTTATTTTTGCCTTTCTTTTGTTTTTTTTTTTTTGTGTGTGTGTCATAATAAAAAAATCTTTACTAAAACCTGTGTCAAGAAGCAGTTTCCTCATGATTATTCTAGAAACCTTACAGTTTTAGGTTTTGCATATAAGTTGATAAGAATAGGATTGCCTAAATATTGAGTGAAATATGACTGATGCAATTCATATTTACAAATTTAGAAATGTTTTCAAAAAGATGGCAAGTCTCACCACTAAAACTGGAATGATAGGTAAGGCTGCTGTCATTGCAACCAGGAGTATGGATAGTTAGGATGTGTGTCTCATATTTCTGGTCCCTTACATAGAATACACTAAAATAACCTATAGCTCTTATATATTTTCTATAAAACTAAGTATTAGCTAGAAAGCACTGGTTTTAAACATAAACTGATATGAAAATAACTACTAATAAGTGATTTATAATAAAATCCAGATAATATATATGCATTTCCTTTTTAATTAAAAAAAAAAAAAAAGCTAGCCTTGTTTACCTGGCAGCTAAAGATTATGAATACATCTTATAAACAAAAATATTTAAAAAGAATTTGAGCAATGATTTTACTAAATTGATCTCGGAATATAACAATAAAGGATGTGTTCACATTGACTTTAAATTATCCAGATACCAAATAAAATATACTCTGAACAACTTTAGAAATATGTTTTGCTTAAGAATCTATTTGCTTTCACATAAATTCTGAAAAGTAAACCAATATAAAGTTTTAGAAGTTGTTCATCTAAAAGAAACATGGCCAAGTTCTTGTTACATTTCTAGATTTAAAATAAAGGAGATACCAGAACAACAACAACAAAATGATAAGAGGAAATAAAGGCTGATAAATTATTAAGAAATAAGACTCGAGGAAAGGTAAAATTAACAAACAATAATTATAAAAACTGAGGATCTGAGTTTATTTAGAAAAATACCAAAGGAGATGAAAAACATGTATTCAGGTAATGATACTCTTGGACTTTATCAGACTTCTGGGAATTTAAGTTGACTGATTATCAAGATAGAATTTTGTTTTTTTAAGATTTATTTGTGCATACAAAACTGGGGTACAAGCAAGAGGCTCAAGGGGTGGCGAGAGGCTTCACCAGAGACAGAGTGGGGAGCAGAACAGGCAGAGTGATGACGTACGCTGCTGAGGGGAGCAGCCGGTGGTCAGGAGAGGTCTACCCACCATGCGGTCACCTCTAGGGCAGGCGGGAATCGAGCTCAATGCGGAAGTGGCTTTAGCTTCTCATTGCTGGGCTCTAACCGGCTGCACCATCAGGGAGGGCCAAGAAAGAATGAATATTTATTTGCTCTGTATTTTTGTAAAAATAAATGTAGATGATTCATCTTTACAATTCATTTTTAAAATCTGATAATAGCACTTGATATTTCCCACTAATTTCAAATAAATTAGGTAATTTAAGGCTAGAGATCATTGAAGGAAAGAGAGAGGTGACTTTAGAATTATCTTTTTTTTTTTTTTCTGCATAGGTATTTGCTGACTTTTCAAAATTGTAATCAACTGAGGTGTTTAGTGTAATTTTTTTTTTTTAACATCAGTCTGCTGTGGGGGTGGGGGGAACTTCATTTGAGTTTGTATTGCTGCATAAGCTAAACTTAAGTTTTCAATTTGCAAGCCATAAACTAAAAAATGTGTGTGTGTATGTTTGTGTGTTTTTCTCCTGGTATTTAGAGGAGGAACCTTTTCTAATTCTTGCTGATCATCATGAGATAAGAAAAATTAGCACTGATGGCTCCAACTACACACTTTTGAAACAGGTAAGATTTCCCCACATGATTTTATAACATTTAATTTGGATGATCCCCTTATATGTCAGCGCATGGGAATACCTTATAGTTAGAATTTATGAAACAGTTATTTATGGATCCTTACATTTATGTATATGAAATTGCTCTAAACTTTATTCTGTTGAATTTATCCAGGTAGTGTTTGTCACATCATGTCAAAGAAAGTAAAATACACTAAGTATAATTAATGCAAGGGGAAAAACATCTCAAGATTAGTGAGATTTGTGAAAGCATAGAATTGTCTTTTAAAATATTTTTCTCATTATCCAAAGTGCTCCCCACCCATGGGGTTTAAAAATATAATTTTTGTTCATAGTAACAGGGAGTAAAATAGGATGGATTTGGGGGTAAATTTGGAATTAAAAAGGAGCAAAGATGTATTTATAATGCATTCATATTTAAGGTTGTGAGACACCTACTCATTTTACTCTCTTCATCACACAAGCCTATCTGCTTGAAAAGAATCTGGGTTGCCCTGTTTTGACATTTGAGTCCTATTTTCAGAATTTACTTGCATATGTTATGTGTGTTGAAAAGGTGTGATTTCCATTCTTTGACAAGAAAGAAAGCTGTGAACTGCTCATTTCAACTTTTTCCAATTCCACAGTGGAAATAGCAGAAAATCAAATAATTGAAACTATGCAGATTAATAAATTGACTGAGAAATTACATACAATTTGTTTTCAGGAAAAGCTTCTTTTGGATACCCTTAGTTTGTATCTGTACTGCTACAAATTTCTATTTTCTCCAAAATGTATCAGTAACAGACTATATGAAAGCACTATTTGGAATAAGTGTATCAAAGATAAAAATATCTCTTTTTCTTATACTGTGTTTATGCCAGCATTGGGCATAGATGAAAATGGGCATTGTGCCATAGATTGAAAATGAATATTTTGTATCAAAATCAACTGGTTACTGTAAGCCAAAGACATTCCATGGGGGTGAGAAGGGAATGGAATTAAAAAAGGGATGGAAAGAGCAGAAGGGACTATGGTGATAGCACATGGGTGAATCAGTGGTGGGAATTATATGGGGTCTATAAGCAGGCTGAGAAAGCAGACATTGTATAAAAATGAAAAAATGATGCAAAAAATATATACAAAACAAAAAAAGAAAATGAACATTATATATTAAAATTCAGATTTCTGGCTATGCAAGAAAAAATAGGATGGTTTAACAATGTCAGGTTCACATCCCTGAAAGGCTACCATCCAAGCTGTGTAGCAGCTGCCACTTAGACATACCACTCACACACACACACACACACACACACACACACACACTCACACGCGCACACACACTCACATACACATTTCCTGTCAAATTGAGATGTTTGCTCTTGAGTTTTGACAGTGTCATCCTCTACTTTATAATACTACTTCTCTACTTTATAATACTACTTCTCTAAAGCTAGATCCTTTGGAGATAAGGCAACATATAAAGCATTTCCATGTCATTTATAAAAGCTAAATGGAAAACTTTTGAGAAAATAGCTATTAGATGTCGGGACCATCCCCGATTTCAGGTTGTAGAGAGGCTGTCACAGGCAGAGTCTCAAGGTGGGAACGACATCGGCAAGGCGATACTCTAAAAATTGGAGAGCGGGGAAGACACGGGAGTCGAAGTTGGGTGCAAATCTTCCTGCTCTGCCTTCAGCAGAGGTTTATTTTTATACATTAGGAGTAAGTAGTGGGATGATATCAGCACACAAACTGGTCTGAGATATTACAATCATCTTTTTTTTCTAAGAACAGTTTGGGGTTGTTTTGACCCTTGCTTGAGATTACAACATTCTAAAATCAATCAAGGTAAAAAACAGATACATAAGTGCACAAAATCTATGACTAATATTACTATAGTGGAGATCATCTAAGATAGAAGTCCCTTAAACCTTATCTACTATTTAATGGGTTTTTGTTTTTCTACCTGAGTCATCTTGGGAGACAGAAGAGGAAATTCCTTGCTAATCAAATCTCTGAATAGGAGATATAAGTGAATTTTCTTTATCTAAAGACTATATAGTAGAATCCTGAAAAACTAGCCAGAAGACTTTTGTGAATTCCTTTAAGGTGTATCAGGTGGAAAACTTGATTAGATTAAAAAACAGGCAACCTGGATGAATTTCCACATCTAAAGGCCAAACAATAGGAAGTTTGAGTAATTCTTTAAAAAGCTGAATAGAAGGCTAGATGAGATAATAGAATGATAAGATTTGGGTTATCCTCCATCCAGCAGTGAGAGAGACTTTGCAAAAACAGCCCTTTTAATTTTATCAGTCAGTAGTCAAGTCACTTGACTTCAGGGGAATTTTTTCACCCTGGTGCAGTGCTTGCTTGTCAAGGCAGGCAGGCCTTGTGCGGCCGAGGCAGTCCAATTGTAAGCTGAAAGTTGCTCAGAATATTTTGATATTATGGTTATACAAAAAAGGGAGGTTATAACATAAGTTAGCGTGGAAAGTCTGATTTTTCAGAGCAATTCCCCTCCATCCAGACCATGTCTGACGACAGAGGTTGCATAGCTCGTGTCAACTAGACAGCTATCTTAGGAAATGAAATATATAAGAAATATTCATAGGGAGCAAGTTTTAAGTGTACATTACTTTTAAAACAGAACAGTTTTTTTTCCCCAAAAGGATTTTCTACAAGATTTAATGTAATTACTTAATTTGCTGCTGCCTAATTGTTAACTTATATCAAATTTTTTAAATGTTGAAAATTCTCTCTTTTAGACTATTTTTTTCCGTGTCCACTCTAAGTCTCTATATACCCTCATGGTCTCTGGAAATAGAACATGGTTGTTTTCTCTTTACTGAGCTGTTTTATTTATTTGTTTTGTTGTGTGCTATTTTTTTTCTTTTAAACTGTACTCTCTTAAAGTCCTTTCCTTAGAATATTCTTAGCTCAAGTGAACCACAAATTGAGCTAATATAACAACAATATTTATTGACTTCATGAAAAAACTACAATGATAGTTCCTTGCTTCAATTTCCAACCCTGTGGCTCAGGATATTCCTGCTGGTTTCCCTGTTGTTGTCTTTCATGGCTAATATGTTATCAGGAATTGTTCTTAATGAAGCACAGTGATTCTTTTTCCTCTACGCATCATTTAAGTCTATTTCATCTTACCAAGCCACTTTAATGCACACTTTCAAACATATTTTTTCCCCATGGCATAATTTTAAACTGTTGCCAATCACTGGGCCCAAAGTAGAAATGCATTTCAAATAGTTTTCTTATTGAAGCATTTATGGAATTGAAGATGGTATAAGGAAGATGAAGTCTGTGAGGACTCTGAAAACTCATCTTTGTATGAACATTTACACCTAGTCAGTAAGGAAAGAGAAGCTTAAAAATATAGTCACCCTTATACCTAGTTTTACTTGCAGGATGCTTGAATTACATAATTTCAGTCAAGAAACATATCTCTTAACCACTCTCACAGCATTATAGACATTTTCGAGGTTTGCAAAGCAGAAGAAACCATTTTTTTTTAAAGATTTATTCACACAGAATTGGGGTACAGGCCAGAGATGCAGAGGGTGAGAGGATTCACCAGAGACAGAGTGAGGAGCAGAACAGATTGACCAAGTACACTGCTGAAGGGAGCAGCGGGCAGGTCAGGAGAGGTCTGCCACACCATGTGGATCAACTTCCGGGCAGGCAGGGATCAAACTCATGCGGAAGTGGCTTAAGCTTCTTAGTGCTGTGCTTTAACCCGCTATGCCACCAGGGAGGGCCAGAAGAAACCATTTTTTAAGATAGTTTGTCTATATTAGAAGTTGAAAATAGAAGTAATATTGCTGCATGTTTTCTCTAGACAAAATAAACTAATAACAATACCTCAATTATCTGCAAATTCTGTAGGTAGATGATTAGTAACAGTAGCTTACTCTAATATCTTTGTTATGGACTGTGGCACAGGAGGGTCATTGGCATCTCTTGAAAGAATTTCACAAAACACCAGAATGAAACCAAAAGCAGTTTAGAGGACAGATACTGCAAAAGGCAGTGGCTGTCTCAGGAAAGGAGTCTCACTGCACCGAGCAGTAAAGCAGCAGTTTTAGGTTTCATTTTTTCTTTCTCTGTGAGGAAGGGTACTGCTTAATTATGCATACCTCATTCTCATCACTGCTCTTGATTCTGGACAAATTGAAACGACCTCTCTCCCTTGCTTTTCAAGTACAGTCAGAGAAACTAGTTAAAACCATTTCCCCAAACCTGGCAGCCCTGCTACACCTTAGCTAGTACTTGAAACAAAGCTAGAGCCCCAGCTGGACCATGGGAATGCAAAATGCAGTTGTGCCCCTCTGGGGTAGTGTGTGAGAGCCCTTTTTATTTCCCTAACATCTTGAATTTTATTCTCATTTTTGTAGTCAGTAACAATCTCATGACACCTTATTGCATAAAATTATAGCAACTGAAAGAATTCTTTTTTTGCCCTATATATTCTAAGACATCATTGTCGCCAGGCCAGCAATAACCTAAATTCATACACCACATTTAGAAAATGTACTTTAATAACATGGATTTTAGAAATGAAAATTAATCAAGTAGCTTTGCAATATGTTATCCAATTCAATTCTAACAGTGCCTTTTATTCCAGTAAAATTGTGGAGAGAAAACAAAACACAATTTCCTAAATTAATCATCTTGAACCAAAGGGTGCAAATCTTCAGCTACAGAAATGAAAGAAGCAAATGGGATTTTGATGAAACCAATTTTCAGCTCTGAAACCACTGGGATGACTCAGGTTTTCAGATAGTATTTTGACCATCCCCTTGCTGTTTTAATGCCCATTGCATATGATTCTGCAAAGAGAGCAATGCCCTGTTTTCTGTGGGGATTAGTGTAAAGCTATAGAAAAATGACCAACTTGGAATATATAGATGTGTTAGAATTCAGACCTTCAGTTCCTCTGCTTTTACAACTTTAATTTATTATAGTTGACTTGCTAAGCTTGGAATTGAATTTTCATTATCTAAATTGATTATTGTAAAGGACGGAGTAGGATAATTCTCCCACAACTGGTGATTGTAGGTAAATCTTTGCTAGCATTAAAGACAAGTTTCTCTCTCCCTTTTCCTCATAAAGCTTTACTTTATCCATCTGATTGCCAGGTCATCACAGAACCCTAATCCATTTACCTAAATCTCCTTCCAGGGGAAAAAAGAATCTGAACATGGAAAATATTGTAAAATGAATGAAAGGATATTGAAATGAATGTATTAAACCTTCTATAGAACTTGGAGTATATTCAATTTGTATTATTAAAATCTTGAATTATTTTCCATAGAAAATTTCTCATTTTTATGGCTAAATGCATTTTGTTAATGGGTCCCCCAGTTTGCCTATAAATGGATAATTGAAGAATTTTTTGAATTTGAAACTGAATAGTAGCTACTATTTTTAGTGTTTGTTATATTGTCTTGATTGCAGTGTCTGTAAGTAATTTAATGCATTTATTTATCTGGGTGTGGTGAGGAGTTTGTCCTGAGAAATATTGACTTCCTGAATGAAAGACAAACAATTTTTTGTGATAAAGTTATTTCAAGTTAACTTTGCAAGCTGGAGCTGGAGATAGAGACTGGTCATGTTAAGTCAGTATATGATTTGTTTCTATGATCTTAACACTATCACTACTAGGGTTTACCCCAGCTAAGAAAAGGAAAAATAAATATTAGGTAGGTAAAACCTACTCTGATGGGCATGTTTTAACTTGGAGCTACTTGGAAAATCTGAACAGTAATAATTTAGCCTGAACTGAGTCTTACAAAGAGATTTATTAATCTAAGCCAGTGTTTACTTTATTGTCAAATTCTGAACTTTAACGATAGATGTGGAAACTAAAATGAGACCTAGGTTTTCCTTATTCTCTTTCCTTTCTCTCACAAACTAAACCAATGAAAGCAAATAAAAAACCTACTCCAAGAAAATATTAATCCTTAATTATAGAATTACAACTATTCACAATGACCCATAAAAGAATCGCATACTTAACTATAATTTGGAGTGATTCATGATATGAGTAAATATAAGATATCAATATAAAAACACATATAGTGCCAAATAATTTTAACCCAGGAATATTTATATACTGATAAACTATTTGAACATAAAAATAAGTTAACAATTAAAACTCTGATTCAATTTTGTTAGTCCATTTAAGTAGTAAATCATGCTCTAACAATAGGTCAGAATTAAACTGAGCCTTAAGCTGTTATTTGAACCATTCAACTGAGAGTCCCAAACCCTGATGTACAATCTTTGTGCAAATCAAACAGCAAAATGGCCAAGCCATAGAGCTGTAGTATCCAGAAAACCATCAGCTGAATTCAGTTTTGTTATCTACTAAAAAATTCATAACTATGAGTCCACAGGGAGGCTTTTCCTCATATTTTCAGCATATAGAATAAAAAGATGTTGACTATCCAGTTCCTCTTTGGCCAAATAGTCTCCTAAGATTATAACTTCTCATCTCTAATATGACACTGTATGGCCTTAGGGGCCACTTTAAGCAGGAAAAAAGAAGGTGCAATTACATTGTTGAGACAAAAGCTTTCGTGGAAAACAAAATTTCTAAGCCTCCCTGGCTATTACCAGTTGGTTATTCCAGTACTCATATCTTCAAGGATGTTCTGTCTTTCAATTTAGATATTTGCTCCTTACTACAGTCCTCTATAAAGCAAATAATAATAGCAATAAAGTGTTTCTCACCTCATCTTTTTTTTTCTTTTTTTTTAAGATATATTTATTTATGTATATCGAAACTGGGTATAGGCCAGAGGTGTGGGGTTGGTGAGAAGATTCACCAGAGACAGAGTGAGGAGTAGACAGACAGGCAGACGGATGAACTACACTGCCGAGGGGAGCAGGAGGCAGAACCGAAGAGGTCTGCCACACCATGTGGGTCATCTCCCTGGCCAGGGATTGAACTTGTGCTGCAGTGGCTGTGATAGCTTCATATTGCTGAGACTCAACCCATTGCAGCACCAGGGAGGGCCCTCTCACCTCATCTTCTTAAAAGCACTTTCCCCTTTACATTACTGACTGTATATTTAAAGTAATCTCTATAAATATTCCAAATAATGTATTACTTATTTGGAAAATATATTCTAATAAATTATGCAGTATTTTAAGTGCATGGCATAGAGAAAATATTAAAAACATACAGTACTTTTTAAAAAGAATTAGTCCCAAATACTATTTATTATCATAGTTATAACTTTAGGTGCAGTGTAGATACTAATTCTTCTGAAATTATAATTCATTTAAAAGAATTTCTGTTAACAATCACCTTTTTTTTATTTTTTAGGGATTAAACAACGTTATTGCTATAGACTTTGATTATAGGGATGAATTCATCTACTGGATTGATTCTAGTCGACCCAATGGCAGCCGCATAAATAGAATGTTTTTAAATGGAAGTGATATTAAGGTAACTAGATATTGGAATGATGGAATTATGAATATTTTATTGGATGGATGTAGTGAAGAGAAAATGTAATTTGATGATCATTCATAGAATGTTTAGTTTGGCTTGAATTTCACAGTTGTAGAGCATGAGGTAAGACATCATTTAAATATTAAATATAAAGATTTTTTTCTTATATTTCATTATAGCGCTATTTGAGTAAGACAAAAATCAAACCGAGTAAATAAAAGTTAGTTTATTCACAGTGCTAGAAAATGTGATGTATGCTTTCAGTTTGAATGATGAGAACCTGAGATAACTTGCGTTGATTTACATAAATATAAAGTTGAGTCTGAATCTATGTATTGAAAATTGACCATTAGATTCAGGTTGAAGTTGTAGCACTATTAAAACAGCCTACTATAGATGGAAATAACTGATACAGTTGTGTAAAATCATAAAATCTGGTAAGAAAATGTAGTTACGTACATGTGTCATTCAGGAGATGAGCTATTCAACACCTTTTCTATATTCTCTGTATTTTAGCTAAATTATTAGCATTGTATATATGTAGTTGAATGAATTATGAAGAACTTTGAATTCATATAGGAAGAACCCAATAAGGTTTCAACATTTTATGGTAGCCATCTCTAATATTATCAGGTGGTAGGAGGAATCAATTTTGAAATCTTTGAAATGTGTATATACCATGCCAAAATAGAAGATTTGATTGAGAGGAATCAAAATAATCATTTTTAGTAGTGACTTATTTATACATGTATATATTTATACATAATTATCATTATGTCATCAAGAACAAAAAGGTATACATTTTACATTTGATTATTTAAATATTTATGTAATAACCAAACTTTTTATTTCTCAAACTTAAGAAATATATATTTTACTATAAATTATTTTTTTAACTTTATGTGTATATATATATTGTGTATATATATATATATATATTAAGGATATATATATATATTAAGGATATATATATACACACATACACACACACTAAGGTGGTATTGATTTACAACATTGAATGCGATTTACAGTTATAAAATAAGGACCCTTCAGATGTATGTCAGTACTCTACACCAAGACATCAACTCCTCCAATACATCCACTGGACCCCTTCCACATTTTATTCTCCTTTCTCCTCTTCCTCGCTCCCCATATTTCAGTATTTTTAAAGTATATTAGTCCCATGTTTCCTTGCCACCACTATCCCATTGCTCTTCCAAAGCATATTATTACATAGGGTCACAAGATGAATCATTTGTTTGGAGACTTAAAATTCACTGATTTCATTTGAATTGTCCAACTTGACAATTTTCCAAATTATATATCTTTCCAAAAAATACATTAATGCCAATTCTAAGGGAAATGTGTGTTCCAGTGTTTATTGAAGCACTATGTTCTACAACTAAACTGTGCATACATACTAATGCCCAAATGCAGATGTGTCAAGCAGGATGAAATATATGTACAAATGGAATAAAGCTCAGCTATTATTAATAGTGCTGACCAAAAAATATTCTTGCCATTTCCATCAACATGGATGGAGCTGAAGAAGATTATATTAAGCCATAACAGTCAGAAGGAAACAGACAAATATCAGATGGTATTACTTACATATTGAGTGAAGAAATACCAAATAAAGGGGGTGAAATAAAGACAAACAACAAACCCTAGAAAGGTGACTACAGAATTGAGACTACAGGGGAGGCAGCAAGAACAAAGTAGAGAGGATAGGGAAGGGCCTGTACTTCTAAAATACAAATAATAATGTAAACCAATGTTACTCCAAAAAAAAAAAAAAAAAAGTGGAACTTGGTAGAAAACAAGAGGATGTCTTATAACATCCTTCATTGTATTCAATATAATAGACTGATACCACTTATTGCTGAAAGTTCATGTTGTCTTTTTTATGTCTTTATAGTTGATGGGATGAAGAAAAGGATACCTATAAAATGTCAGTGTTCCTATTGTCTAACTTTGTAACTATTGGGATGTATGTAGTCCCAAGGTTCTATTGTTTCTTTCACTTATTTCTCTTAGCATTGAAAATGCAAATAATTGATGTAAAGATCAAGTCATTTGCTGTTTTCTATGCTCTAGACTTGTATATACAAATCCTGTATTTTTATTACATTTGGTGATGATATAGGTTGTATTTGAGCACAGCAGCTGTATGAATACAATTTTACTCTCCTTTGGTTTGGGTCCAAATATTTAGTGAATGCTTGTGTTCTTTTGTTGCTTTTGTTTTCCTCTTGTTATACTAGATCAATAGTGTGTTTCGGTATGTGTATATGTTAGAATACTTGCCCCAAGTTTTCAGAGGCCAACTAAAGTGTAATGCAGATGTGTTCAACAATTTTGCAGTTTCCCAGTAGCTTTTGATTTTAGTATTTTTTCCTTAAACCCATAAATAATTTCTAGGGATCTGATTACATTATGTGTAAATTCTTAGAAACAAGTAATTGTATTAGTGTGAATGTCTCTACCTTATTTCTATGATAATAAAAATTCCATATCTTAATGTTTAAATAGTATTCTAATCTCTGAAAAAATCAAGAAGCAATAGCTTAGTTTTCATTCTAAGCCTTTATTCTGTTAACTTTTTTGATTCTTATCTTGCTAGGTAGTGCATAATACAGCTGTCCCCAATGCACTTGCTGTTGATTGGATTGGAAAAAACCTCTATTGGTCTGACACAGAAAAAAGGATCATTGAAGTGTCCAAACTCAATGGCTTGTACCCTACTATACTCGTTAACAAACGGCTGAAGTTTCCCAGGGACCTGTCTTTAGATCCTCGAGCTGGGTTTGTAACACACATTGAAAATCTTAAATTAAAGATTAGGACTGTGGATTACATACACTGTGGTAAATCCTGTTCTATAAGTTATTAATATGAAAGCCCAATGTAAAATGTAAATGTGTAGAAATTCTTATTGTGAAATCAAAAGAAATGTGACTAACAAAGTGGAAGAAAATATTAGATTATGGGGATTTCACAGCAAGTATTTTTTTTAACATTCTAAAGTCAACCATTTTTCTAAGCAATAATTGTACTGTGGAAGTGAACAAAATATACATATTTTGTGGATTTAAAAGCCTTTATTTCTTGAAGGAAAGGCAGACTAACAGCCAACCAACTCTTGGATGGTATTTTGCAGTGCAGTAGTAGTCACAGGTTTAGATTTTGTAATTTATGCAATACTTTAAGTAGTACCCATGGATAATAAATAACAAGGTGCTTTATCCATATATTCAAAAGAAAATGCATGGAGGGAATATTGTGAAACATCCCATGTGAAATTGAGTTTAATTTGCATTTATCATTCTGAAAATAGAGAGGGAGGCATTGAAAAGTATAAGGCCATCTGGTAGAGGTTTCAGATGCATGATAAGCACACATTAAGGGTAACGGTTGTCTGGTGTGTGTTTGAAGAAGTTCGATAGATTATGACCATAATCATTCACTTTCAATTATATTGTTTTGGTAGAGAGAAAAGGTATATCCTTCTCTTTTTTTCCCATTATAATTTAGAGTAACACTCAAAAATTATCTCTGTAAAAGTTCATCTTACCCAGCACATTTGTTAAAAGAACAAATCTAGAGAATTTTTGATTTTTTTAAGTAGGACATATTTACTGTAGCAAGTATTATGAGAAGTACAGGACTTTAAATTTCCTGCTGTCTAAGTTAATTTCCATAATGTATAAAATTCATCACAGTTTTTTTTCATACATATGTAACAATTCAATTCTGCCTTTTGCTAATAAAACTATCTCTGTTTGCTGGTTCCTCATGTTTAAAATTGGCAATCTAATAATGTCATAGTATGTTAATTTCAAATATTACTTTGGGGAAAAACAGTATCTGATAGAAAATATATTTCAAATATAATATGCTTCTCAAGTAATGTGCAAATTTTAATTTTCCCTATATAATTATATAAGCATTTTGTTATCTTTTAAAATATTTTTTACCATAGCAGCAGAAGTTTTAAAAGCATATCATTTCTGTTTTAACCAAAGGGCAACACGAGAGTGTCCTTTGTCTGTTATGTTTCAAGAAATAAAGGCTGAGGGCCTTAGAGAAAACAAACATATGTACTAAGTTTGACTGTTATTTGCATCCATTCATATACATGTAAATATTTTAATCCCTCTGATAATTTATCAAAAATAATACTTCGGTATGTTGTAATAATTTTCCTTAAACCCATAATGTCAAAAATATATTTTCCTTCCCTCAAATCAGTATGACTGTATTTGCTTCTCATTCCTACTATTCAAAATATGTTGTTTTCTAAATGAAATAAATATTATCTACTAATAGTCAAATGAAAAGTCTATATGAAGCACAAACTGTATTTCAGCCTAGTAATCACAACTGCATCTATCTTTAAATTTTATTTATCACAGGTTATAGTTATTACCCTATAAACTAAAAATAGCCTTAAATTATCATCGACATAAATCCATCCAGCAAATGTGTCAATTAAAACTGTGAATTTCTAAATCATTGCTGATGCTATGAAAAAAAAACCTTATTTCATTTTTTGATAATATTTGAATTATGATATGATTATATTTTTGTTATGACCAAAAAAACTGATGCATATTGATTCTTTTTAGATACAAGTTTATACTACCTACTCTAACGGTTAAAATTTAATGATGCTTTTTTATTTGTACTGTTTCCTACTTCCCCAGAGTGAAACAATAGGGCAACTCAGATTTTAGCTTTTATGAGATGAATTTCAGTGAAAAAATGCCATAAATGTATAACATATTGTGAAATCAGGCTACAAAGTAGCTTAAGTTGGAAGATTACTTCATAAAAATGCAATTGAAATTTTCTGTCAGATTATTGTTGTTTACATATGTTTTGAATATGTCAGCACAACTGATCCCCATTTTCCTGCCAAATATAGTATCTGCCCTGACAGTGAAAGATAGGTGAAGGATTAGTTTAAGGAAGATAAGAACATTAGATTACCTAGTATGATGAAATTACTAAACATATAGTAAGTAGCTTGGGGGTTTCTTTCTTGTAATGATAATATACAAATAATCAGAATGTCATTTTGAAATGATGGTTAGTAAAAATGGTAAAGAAGATATAAGTAGACATGATTTTCTTGGTGATATTTTTAAATTCATTTAAAATCCAATTATCTTAATTTGGTTTTCTAGTTTAGTTTGGGGATATAGCATTATAACTTATACATTTCTGGTAGTATAATTTATTTTCAACTTTTATAAAAGTTGTTATTTATGCAAAAGTTTAATTTATGTGTTAAGTAAGTTTAAATTATACAATATATTAAAACTAACAAGCACAATTTTACCATTTTGGATGATTTTTACTGTAGATTACCAAAATAACAGTAGACCATTATAATAACATTGAGGTGAATATGTAATATAGCCAGTTAAAAGAAAATAATTTCATCTATTCATTTAATAGTTCATGTTTTCTTAGCACTTAATATATTTATGACACTGTACTGAGTATAAAAATAAATGGCACAGCCACCTATCTCCAAATATCTCATAGTCCGGTGGGGAGGAGATGAGTAAACAATTATCACATAATGCAGTATCTGCTAAAATAGAGAAAACAAAGTATTTTATCAGAATTAAGATCAGCGAAAGCTTTCTGGATAAAAATGATAGGTCACTGCCACACCTCTAACACATTCAGAGTTTTATCACTTTAGGCGATTATATAGCTTACACAGAGTCTTAGAAACTATTATTATCCTTTATAGTACAGAGGAGAACATTTATCCTCAGCATTACTAAGTGACTTTCTCAGGACCATTAGGTAATAAGAACTGGTGATCAACACAGGTTTCAAGCTCTGGTTCCATATTTCCCATGTTACGTCACAGTAGTTTTAGTGATTTTTGGATCATAAACAAGCTCTTCCAGAGCCATAAAAGCAAAGAATGTGGGCCCTCCTTGTTGGCCTAGAAGCACTATCATCCCTATGACCTGGGTTCACCCCTGGCTAGCTAGCTGACCCACATGGCACAACAGACCTTTCCTCTCTCACCAGTTGTTCCCCTCAGCAGTGTTGCATTGTATTTCAGTATATCTACTGCTCTGCTCCCCAATCTATCTCTAGTAAACCCTCTCACCCCCTGCACCTCTGACCTACACCCATAGTCTTCTATGCAAAAGAGAGAGAGAGAGAGAATAGAGGAAAAAACTATACTTTTCCATTTAGTAAGTACCCTTATACAAATTCTAAATTAGCATAAATTATAGGTTTGTCTTAATGAAAATTACCTAAATCGTTATTTTAAAATAATTTTTAATGCCTTATTTTCAAAGACTATTTTAATTTTAACTTTCTAATCTTCTTTTAGCAATACTCCAAGAATTCATTCCACATCCTGTTTTAAATTTGAAATATTTTAATGAAAATGTTGAAAGATACTTTTCATACCCAATATCTATATTAATTATTGCCAATATGAGGAGTAAGAATCCAGATAAATTTGGAAATGACCCATTTCATTCTTCTGTACCTTGACATGTGCTATTCTTTTTTCCTGGAATGCTCTTCTATTTTTTTTTTCTTTCAGCTAAAATAATTTGAAATTTTTATCAAAAACAGCAAATATCATTTTCTCTATGACGCATTCCCTGTAGACCTAGCAGCCATCATATACTAAGTACATAATGTTACATGACTATTACTTGTACAAATGTCTATATCTCCACATAGAAAGTGAATTCCATTAGCATAGGGCCATGGTTTATTCTTTGTGCCTAACACAGAGACCATTAATTCACTTATGAAAAACAATCATAAATGGGCATATGGATGTATACAGCACATAGAGTAGGTTTCTCTTAAATTTTCTTTTTGTTGTTCACATTGTACAATATTTTATTTCTCCCCTCACCTGAAAACCCCTAAAATCTTCCACCACCACAACACCCCATGGATCACCATAGTCCCATGTGCTCTTGCCTTCCACTTTGACCCACCCCTGTTGTATTTTAGAGATCTATAATTTGCTATCCTTTTTTCTGACTCTTTGTTTGGTTTTCCTATATTCCTTCTACAAGAAACACATAGAGTTTTAAGTATGGGTACATAGTACCTGCATCTACACAAGCAAATGTAGAGGTATGAAACAAACTAGTCTTTTCAAAGAGGAGAGTCATAAAGAACTTATGTTGCAAGGAAATGAAATGCATACCAGGAAATGAAAACTCACTTTCTAATTTCTGTGAGGAAATTACAGAAAAATTCCATTAAGCTATGCAGGCACATTAAAAAAAAATTGAACAAATTTTTACCCAATCGCCCACATTTAAGCAAAAAACACAAGGATGGATATAAAAAATTAATGTTGTTGGTCTAAATGAGAAATAGTAGCAGAAAGATAGAACACTCTATATGTATTCCTTGAATTAAAAAAAAAAAAGGCAGACTGAGAGAAGACTTGTATTTTAAAGAAATATAATGTATTGTTTCAACTATAAAATATATCCTCAGGAAAAATAGATGCCTGTTGTTATGGTTACAAGTATACTTACTTTTATATGTTTGCACTTGACTAATCTTATGGAATAGATATTATTTGAGAATGATTGTTTTTTATATGTCACCTTAGGTAACCATGCATGCTATAGGTGAAATTTAGAACTATCTTTTGAAATCTTCAATGAAGTGTTCACTTTTTCAGCTTTATTGACAAAAACAATGTTTTTAAATGTAACCTCTCTTAAGAGGTTAAATTTAGATGTTAAAATACTTGTATATCTGGTGCAGTCTTTTTGAGAAACTTGAAAAAATATGTATAGTAATTGAGCTTCAGTAGGGAAGAAAAATAAAATTTACCTATCAGAAGTTAGCATATTATGAAGAGAGGCGCAATAAATTGTTTTAATGAACCTCCCCCTTCTCTTTTTACCAGAGAACAATTAAATTTTATATTTTTTCAATGTAGTAGAATATATTCACACCGTTTTTCTGGTTGATGAGTAATTTAAACAGGCAAGTCATATAACAATGCACATAAAATCCAGGAATCAAATAATAAATTATATACAGTTCAGATGCAACAAGTTATTGGTTAATACTACACCAAATATATAGACTTAAATACAGACATTACATATCTAGTGAAGATAAAATAATGACAGCTGATATTCCCGGCACACTTACTATATGTTTATCTATATTCTTAGATTGTTCCTTGTGTTCTCTCATTCAGTTTCTCACAATGACCCTGTGAGTCGAAACCACTATATTCTTTATCAATCACTAAGTGAGGCTTATTAAAGTGCATAGGTTTACTTTGTTAGTAATGAGTAGATCTGAAATTGAACCCAAATAATCTGTTTCTAGGATTTGTATCTAATGCTGTTTAGAGAATAGATGCTAGTCTATAAATCTAGGGGCCTGGGGCCTTGTTACAACAATATCATTATCTTAACATGATAGGACACAGAATATAATCTTTTATGTGTTCAGTTTATCCATGAAATGAAGGCTTTAGACAACAGGATCAGCACCTATTGCAATATTGAAATTTTTAAGTTATACTTAGTTCTAAAATATGTGAGAGGCGAAAGAATATTGTTATTAAGGAATCACAAGTAGATATGAAGGTAGAATTTATAGTCAAAGAATTATTTACATGAGATTTTGTTCATGTCTTCTTCCACCTAAGTAAAATTGTTAATCCTTTTGTGCCTCCATAGTAAAATAAGCTTCACTTTTTCCATTATCCACTTCTGTTGTATTCGCTACAAGATCTTTGAAGGCAAAAGTCATATTTGTTTACCTCTGTGCCCCCAGTACTAAGTGATATCTGTTGCATAATATGACCTCAAGGAATCATTGTTTCAAAATAAGGTTTTCAGTCTCTTAAGAATTTCTTTGGGACTTATCAGAGATATTTCACCTACTGATTTAATTAGCTATCTCTGATTATAAGACCTGAGTATCTCCAACATTACTACTGCTTTGTGGATTTCTGTGTGTGCTGGCAAGCAGAATGAGCAGTCCCCTTAGGCCCCCAATCCTGCATATTCTGAATAGATTTTGCCATCTGCCTCATAAAGACAAAACATACTCTCTGTACATAAGACTTTCAATAGAAAAGAACTTCAATACAATTAGTATACAATTAATAGAGAGCAGAGAAGGAAAGATAATAGCTTATAAATAGGCACTCCAAGTTACCCAAGCCAGTGGGTAAATTCCCAGCCAAACAGGCCCTGCCCATAGCCTAAAACATGCCACTATATTTAGGCAACTTCTGGTGGAAAACCTTAAAAACAGAGCAGAAAAGGGGGCATGAAGTCTAGTAGGAAAGGCTGAAATACCAATACAAGTCTAAATAAAGTCAGCCTTTGGTCTTTTACTCATATCTGTCTATCTCTTTCAAGTGTGTTCTTCCATGTTTCCCCAAGTTCCTGATATAATTCCAGGGCTGAGAAGCAAGTGTGGCTTCTTCAAATTTCTCTCTGCTCCATGGGCCTCCTCCAAATTTCTAAGTACTCCCCAACCAAGTCCTTTCTAATTTCCTTTTGTGCTCATCTCCACCCTTAATTAAGTGGGGGCAGAGAACCTAGGACCTCTCCTTGCTATGGAAATTATATCAATGCATGCACTAAGAACAAGAAATGTTGTAGACCAGAAAAGGCTCATCAGCACAACATCACAAAGTGCTTCCTATTAAGTGCCCTAGGAAAATATTGCTGTCACACAAAAGTCTGTGATAAAAAAAAGCGTTCTACAGCTCCCTCTTATAGTGTCACTGTGACATACAATGTATTCAGCCTCTTGAGAATTCCTACAATAAGAATGATGATGCTGATTTTGTTTATTCTGCAAAGAATTATTCAAATGTATTTCTTCCAATAACCCACCATAAAGAAAGCTATAACTACACAATTCAGGTAAGAATTTGTGGAGAACAGAGGAGGCAATATGAATTATTTCTGAATGAAAACAATCTGTATAATTGAAAAGTCAGGATTAAGACAAATGATTTGATCTGAAAATGTGAAATAAATTTTCAACTAAAGCTACATTCAAACATTTCAATATGGGGACTATTTAAAAAGTATATTTTTTGCTGAATAATAGAGAGGTTGAATGGCAGGGAGAGAATTTTAGACCTATAACTAAAAAAAAAAAAAAAATTCAGTGATAATGATGTGACAAACGTTGCATTCCTTGGAATATTATCGTTTTTTTCTTCTAATATAGCAGTTTAAAATGATCATGAAATTTGCCAAAAATAAAGTTTAAAATGCACATTGAAATTTAGAAATGTTATGAGGAAGTCAACCATTTGAAATTAATAATTTTGTTAATAACTTTAAAGATAGTGATTATTCTCATTCAGTTAAGAATATCTTTGTTGAGAACATTTAATGGGAAATGTTACTTTTGGAGTTCCTTAACTACAAGTAAAGTAGTTAAGTATAAAATAAATAGCTAAATAACAGTGAAGACTTTCTAACCAAATTTGAGTATAATTGTAATGCTACAGAAGATATTGAATAGTTTTCATTTCTATCGCCTACATTATTTTTTTTTAAAACAACTTGGCTATATAGAACACAATACATTGGATTACATCTAACATGTATGAGAGGTGACATAATCATACTTATTAGGGGGAAAATGCTATGTCAATGCTTCCAAGATTGACAGGCTAATGAGGCAAAGGACAATATTTTTCTTTATTTAAATAAGACAAATTATCTTTTCAGTTTTACTTCTTTTTGATCTAGTTTATTCATTTTTCTTTACATTGTCATTATCTCTAGTAATGACACCTAATTCCTCCTCCAAAAATGTACTAGAAAGAAATGAGTTTTGTGTCTTAGATGTACTTTATTGGCATCTCTTTGATTTTCAAAGTAAAAGTATATTGAAATGATTCAGGATTTAAATAAACAGAACATGTAATTGGTTTCTGAAGGATTTGACATTTATTATTGCTTGATTTGGATATGTCCAAAATATGTCAGATTTAAGGCATACAAAAGCATTGGTAGAGATTCAGTATTGCTTAATGCAAGGGAGACCGTGATATTTTTAGACACAAATTTAATTTTTGGATATCTGAGCTCTCTTTGAATTCCTACTAGCAAAATTCTACTTTTTGTTGGTCCTTATATGAAATGATATATATTTCTCACTTTAACCACCATTCTTAACTAGAACTCATAGAGATATTTTAGTTAGAAAAGAACTTTTAATTTATACCAGTTTTCACCTGCCTTTATGCTAATCCAAATATAATTTTCAAAACAAAAAAAAGTAGTTTTTTACAATTAATATGTCAGCACTGTATTTGAGGAAGTTTTTTTTTTTTTTTCCAAACCTGTGATTTAAATGTCACAATCATCTCTGTCAGGATTTATAAGAAAACTTTTCATTAAGGGTTCAGAAGAATTGTTTTTTCTTTTAGAAACAATATAAATATACTAGCTATTAACTATTTAGACTAATTTTCATATCATATTATTTTAAAAACACAAAAAAATCTGAAGAATTGGTTACCAAAAATATTACATATTTTAAAAAATGGAACCTAGGGAAGTTAATTGGGTCAAATCATACAATTTTAAAGTTGGAATGTGAGGATTTTAGAGATTAACTCAGAACTTGAATTATTGTAAATGAGGATATCTATTCAAAAAACATAAAAGTCTTTTCCTACTCTAAGAAAAAAATGGCTTAATTTTAAAATTGTCTAATCTCTGTTGTTTATATGTTATTTGTATTTGGGTAGTTGCAATATTTATGTTTAATTCATTGTTTTCAGTACCAAAGTATGTTTTCCATTTTACTGCTTTTTCTGAACTATCCAAAATAACCTATTTAAATTTCCAATAACATATTTTAAATATGAGCTATCCAATAGAATTTTTTGTGGTGATGGTATGATGGCAGTGCTTTTTATGTGCATTGTTAGACATGGTAGCCTGCGGGAACATGATTATTGTACTCTTTAATTTAGCTAGTTAACTAAAAAGCAATGCAGTTTACTTAATTTTATATGATTTAATTTTATGTAAACAGTCACAATTACCACAATGAGCAATGAAGGTTCAGACAAATATACATACTTTGTGATCATTTTGAATTTTTCATATTTAATAACTCAAAGGAAAAAAAAAACATGTTGATAGTTTTGATAGTTTTATTCTTTCAACACCAATGATGTGTTTTGCAGATTCTGTCTGTTAGTTTTGGACAGACTTAATTTTTTTACAATATATTTTATGTGTTTGTATATTGATGGAAATGTTTAAAATTATATGAATATTTCAAAACTTACCCTATTTTTTTATAAGAAGTCCTGAGAAAAATTTACATTAAAGTATGCTTATTAGGAACTATAACTCAGAGAGATTCTGGAAATTACTTTGGGCACATTTGAATAACTAAGTGAAATTTTGTGTAATGGCTTACATCCTGAGTGTATATAAACAAAATGGCTTTTGATTTTTCTCTCTAGGTATTTGTATTGGATTGACTGCTGTGAGTACCCTCACGTTGGCCGTGTTGGAATGGATGGAACCAATCAGAGTGTTGTCATAGAAACCAAGATTTCTAGACCGATGGCACTAACAATAGATTATGTCAACCATAGACTATACTGGGCTGATGAAAATCACATTGAATTTAGCAACATGGATGGTTCTCACAGACACAAAGGTTGGTTCAGTAGCAAAAATGACTCCATACTTTACTAGTGCATAAAATATTCATTTAATAAAGTATGAATACTTTTTCTCATCAAGTACCTTTCTTAAAGATATATTTTACTCCTTTATGACAAGATTTATAAATAAGAATTATATATATATTCAGATCCTCTACAATGCATAAAAATCATGTTGACAATGTTAGTATTTCTGTATTTACAATTTCTTAATAGTTTTTATAGTATTTGTGTGATGTTTTTTAAGTTGACAAAAGTAAGTACCTAATTACTGAAACAGAATGGTATTTGCATGTAAATATAAGGCTTCTATTATAGTCTGGCAGTATTTTGGTTCTCTTAAAATTCAAAGTAATGGTGAAGCTTTTCACAGACAGCAAAGTGATATTATTTAAAAGTTATCAATTATGCTAATACTTGGTTGAATTTTATCTAATCAACAATGTTAGCATTAAAAGGAAAAAAGCCTTTCAAATTAGTTACTTTCAGGAAATAATTTAAATATGAATGTATTTCTTTTCTATACTTGTTTTTCCAAGTTGTGTATCTCTGAGTATTTTAAAGCATTCAAAATATAAAATAAATGAATGAAACAAAATATCTTTCAGGGTTATCATTAATAAAATGCATAATTTTGAACTAAAAATGCTGATAGGGACTTTTAAAGGTGCTATTTTGAGGGTAAGATCATTGAGGTGTGACAAGTATAGTTGGATGGCTCACTTATTTAGATGCTGGCATTCCAATTATAGAGATAAAGAAACTCATCAGGATGCAATTTGAGTAAAGAATTATTTAAAGATCACTGTAGGATTTTAATTACAGCAAAAGTAATGTTAACAAATAGAAATCACACTTAGCATTCAGCAGTTACATATCCTCTAAAGAATCAATAATGAAATGTTCTGTAACAATCTTGAATGATATAATTGAAAGTTTTATGATAGCAATCAGTATTTTCCCATGTAACCATGAACCTACCCATTTTTAGTGTCTACATACAGTGCTAGTTTGTAAATTATTACTGGATGTTAAAATTTCACTCTGCAGTAACATTTAAATAATTTTTAGTGAGAAAGGTGAATGACAGCATGAAATATTTGTCTGTTTTCATTTAATCATTTGTATTGGAATAACAAAATTGTAGTTAAAATTTACTAGAAATAATTGACTCTTTCTCTTACTCATTATTTAAAATTGTTACCAGATATGATTTTAAAAACATTACAAAATTTGTTGTTGACATTAGATAGAGGGATATATGTAGAAGAGAAAAAGGGAATAATTTTTTGTAAAGCATTTGACTTTGAAAGGTATCCAGGTGGGATATTAATAGCAATTTAAAATATGATTTTGGAAATTCTTAGAGACAAAAGGTGTGAAAAGAGGAAAATAAAAGTGATGTTGCTTTTTTTTGAGGGGGGGATATTGTTGCCTGAAGACTTTCTCAGAAGGACTAATGAAAATTTCATTAAGTGTCTTATCAAATCTACCAAAATCTGAATGCAGACCAATAATTACCTGGTAGTTACTAATGAGCTACTAATTGTAGGCAGCCTGAGTTATGCCAACTCCAGAGCCAGTGATAAAAGAGCCATTTATTTGCCATGTTTGTGAAGAGGAATCGGATTTTCTTTGCATTTCTCCCGTAGATAACAACTGTGGTTTCTTGGTTATGGTTTTAGAGGGGGACAATGAGGCTTTGATGTAAATAATAACTTGTGTTAGTTTAGGCACTGTTCCCTTATTTTTCCTCTGAGTCAGAAAGTATTTTTATTATTATTGATTCAATTATTAAAACTAGAACCCAAGCTCATTAAAAGGATGGAATATGCCAGTCATGACAATGTAATTTGAGAATGTGAGAGGTTTATGAGAAACTTGAGAGTTAAGTCTCTTTTTTATAAGTTAAATTTTAATTATACAGTTAAACCCTGCATAGGACTTTGTGTTTGTTGCCCCTGAATATAATTTGATTCAAGCTATATTATAAATAAGTAAAGCAGCAATTTATTATTATATGTCCAGCCCAAGAACTTCTAAAGGCTTTGTGTTCTGTGTCATAATCAATAGATCACATTGTCTTCAAGGTACATGCCACTTGCAGTTTGCTTGAGAATTGCTGTTCCTCTTTCTTTGCTATGTCCTTTGCAACCCACCTTCCTATAAAAGCCAAACACCGTGTTGAAAAAAATTGAAAAACATTGAAAAAAAAAAAAAAGCCCTTACTAGATAAGGATTAGTTAGGTAAAATCTGAATCACATGAAACTCACCCTATGATGTGTATATGCATATATATGGATACCCATATATGTGGGAGTATGTATATGATTCTACTGGTTTGCTATAATAATTATATAATAATGCTATGATAAAAATAACCTTAGAATAATTATTTTACTAGGTGACTGAATCAGATAGTTTACTTTAAACCAAATTTTCATTGATTCATTTTTTTAATTTCTGATTTCTTCCCTTTAGATTTACTCATCCATTCATTCATTTTTTTCATTCAATGTACACTTGCTGGTTTGTCTTTTTATCTCACTTTATGCTTGCCTGTATTTAGAGTTAGAGGTGAGTAAGTCAGTTTCTTTAAAGCACTTATAGTTTTTAATGAGAAAAACTAATGTTCAGATAAAGGGATAAGTTAGATCTGGGTTAGAGATATTTGCAAATATTTTAAAAACATGCAGGAGTAGAGAAGCTTTTGCTGAAGTGATAGGAACTTTGAGAAGTCTTATGAATGCTCCGTAAGAATTAGGGGAGATTCTTTAGGCAGGGAACATCATTTGCAAAAAGCAAGAGAGTCTTGAAACAGCATGGGTTTTATGCATGTTGGCTATATCTGTGTTATGAGAGGGACATGATGACACTTATGAACAAGGCAAATTGGGACCAGACTGTGACAGACTTTGAATGCTAAGAATTTGGAATATATCCCTTGGATCATAGGGATCCATTGATAGTACTTAGTGATGAAGTATTTTTAGTAGATTTGACAAAAAGCATGGAAAATTAAAGACTAATAGGGCATCCAGTTTATAGAGTGTGAAAATATTTTAGGAGAAAATACTTGAAGTGTTTATAGCTGTGGGAATGGGAGTTAAGTATTCCAGTAAACATTAGTTAGCAGAATAAATAAAGATTGGTAAGTGTAAAATAACAGAACCATTGGTAGTCAAATTGCAAATATTAAGTGAAAGATATATGTGAGTACCATTTAGGAGGAAAGAACTCATAGTTTTCATGATTTACTAACCTCACATATATTTATACATTTTAAAATTAAATAAAAGTTGCCTTTTGAAAAACTTTTAATAAAAAGCATATTTATTGTAAAATTATCAGTCCAAGAGTAATTCTAAATGTGTGATTAAATAGCCCTCTATTGTTATCTTTCCATTAAAAACATTTCCAAACACCTCATTATTTCCCTAGAAGAATGCAAATGAGTAAATCTCTCTCATTGTTTCTCTTCAAACATAAAATATATCCAATGGAAGTGCTGGCAATTTGAGTTTTGACCTACTGTCATTTCTCTCCATGGCCTCAATGATCAAACACTAAACACCAAAAAAATATTTTATCAGCAAAATGGCACCAACCCAGCCTATGGGAGCCCAATCTTAAACCAATTACCTGGAAGGGAGCATTCACTGTTTTTATAGAGAATGATATGGACTAGCTTCTGGGAAAGAACTGTTAATTGTTTAGGGAAAGCATGCAAATGACTGGGGATTTGGGAACTAGACATCTGGGTGAGGATGAAGGCCATTTATCTCAACAACCACAAGTCATCCTGTTTCAGTCAGTTGGTATATGTAAAACAAGCTTTTTCATTATGGCCTTGGCTTCTGGAAATGGAAGTTAAGAATCTTAACATATAGCTTGCAGGTGTAAATATGCTTGCCAAGTACTTTAATTGATTTCTTTCACTGCTATATCAAGATTTTCTTCAGATGCAAATAGTTTTTAAACTTGTATCTAAGTGTCTGTATTTTTTTGTTGTTGAAATGAGTTCTTACTAATTCAAAACCACAATCCTCCTCAGTGAATTTTAGTCTTTACTTTTGTACCATAAGTAATAAATACTCACATGAGTATTGGAAAGGATCACTTTCCAACCTGATCCTCATTTCTTCTTCCATATTATTGCACAAGTTACTACATTGACAGAATACTTGTGGATTGATCAAACCAGTGAGGAGCAAAACCTATAATTTTGAGTACACTATATTTTTTGTTCATTGACTTTCTACAGAGCATTTCTTAGCCTGATCTAAGTGGTTCCAAGAATGGGAATCATCCTCTTATGAACATATAATTTTATTAGAAGTTACTCTGTTCAAAGAACTGTGTTTTATTCAGTTCATGCCCTTTTAGTCATTCTATCAGTAAGTACTCTGTTGTAAATCATTAAAGCCATTTTGTAGCAAGAAAATATTTAAATAAATTAAGTAATTTTTCCAAAGTTACATACTAGTAACCAGGAAAATCAGACTTTAACTAATCCAGATCTAACTAATTACAGTCTACTTTCTATTCAAATTTCATTCAGCCTCATTTTTGAAAACATATTTGTCTAAAGATTTCTTTCCTGCTTTCTAGTGTTTATAATACCAACAGTTACAGCATAAATATATACTTACACAACAAAAAAGTGTACATCCATACCTGTTATTTTCACCTCATTAAATTAGTGGACATAGATACATTGCAAAATAATTAAAGAACAAAGAACCAAAAATTAAACCACCATAATTAAGAGAAAGCCTGTATCACATTAAATTCAACTCCTTTTGTTGATTTTTGATTTAGGGGAATGAAGAGAAAAATAATTGTGCTTAAAACTCTATATTCAGCTTTAGCACTGCAGATTGAGGTTATCATTTGCTGTTTCCAAACTGACTGCATCTCCTGCATATAGGAAACTTAAAATTTTTGTTTAGAAATTCATGTCACAGAATTACTGAAATTTGACCATAGTGA